TGAGAGTCTCAGCAATTTTCCTGCCTGGAGCTGGCTTTGAGCAATGCTCAGATTTCAGCTTCCTGAGCAGCTAGGACTACAGGCTGAGCCACTGGTGCCCAGGTATAACAGCTAGTATTTATTTTGTGCCCACAGCACTCCAAGCAGCATTCAAGTATACTTCAACATTTCACCTGTATTACTTCTTATTGCCTTCGCAGCCTTTTAATGTAGATAGACTTACTGGAGGCTTGTAACTGAAGGAGGGAGGGAGTGGGGATTTGAATTCAGGTAAGTTTGACTCCAGATTTCTTAGAAAGGTAGTTCTTGTTGAGAGTGTGTGGAAAACTGGCCAAGCTTATGCTCCCAGGTATAAGCTCTAGACGAGCTACTTTCTATTTGCCTTATTGGGCAACTTGCATACTACTTCTAAACCTCAGTCTTCCCATCCATAATCTGAGAGGACTGGAGGATGAGATTCAGTGGTGGAGCACGTGTAGCATGCTCAAGGCTTTGGGTTCAATCCCCAGCACTGGGTAAAAGGCCAACTATATGCATAGGACTATTTTGTTGATGAGATAAACATGAGATAAACAAACACAAAATAATTATCAGTCAATAACAGCCAAACTTATTGCCTACTGTTTTCTTCTTACAGAAATTAACTCATAACCATCCATATTATAGTGACTACTATTCCTTAGCTTGCAAACAGGCAATATTTGATATCTATCCTGGTTCTAAAGAAACAGGATTACTTCAGATCTCAGATGGCTGCCTTCTGAGCCAGCAGCACACTGGATAGCAATGAAAATGATCAAAACAAATGACAGGGCTCAGAGCAAGGGGCAAATTGTTCCCCTGCCCAATACAATAGAAAAAGGAATAGTTATCTTGCATCAAAGGCTTCATTCCCACTGAATCCTTGTATTTCACATTCCCTTAAGGTTAGAGCCAACTTTTAAGATGAATAATTAAATCTGGAAGGAAATGGGGTCAGCAGGTCTTGCGGTGTTTTTTAGACAAGAAATCCCAGAGCTAGCTGAAGAAGTGGCTGATAGAAAAGCTTCTTTCTACTCATTTACCCCCAAGAACCGCTCAGTTCCAGAAAGGAGGTTTAGGAACATATCTCAGTAAATGCAACGTGACACTGGTTTTAAGTCCGCTACACTCAAAATTCACTTCTGACATGCATTTTTTTTATGATTTTGGGCTTAATATAAATTACTGTTTTATATAATCTTATGTTATATTGGTTATCTTATTTAAAAAACAGATTGTATTCGTGATAGCAATGGAATGAAAAACCTAAGAACTCATATCCTGAGATACCTGTACAATCTATGGAGAGACAACTTCTAAATGTTATTGGAAGATGTGAAAAAGATTTAATAAGTCAAACCTAAACAGTGCTACTGAGAAGACATTAATTACAAAGATATCAGCTCTCTCCAAGTTAATTTGCAGATAATTCAATGTCAATCAAAAGACTTACAGGGTTGCTTTTTCCAAAGGACTTAACAAAATAATTCTAAACATCACTTGGCAGCAACTTGGAGGAAGAAATGAGGACTGTGGTTTAAGGCTAACCCTAGCAAAAAGATAGTGAGGCCCTGTCTCAATCAAAAAGCCAGGCATGGTGGCTCATGACTTCTCATTTGAGCAATGCAGGAGGCAATAAGTAGAGAATCATGATCCAGTCCAGAACTAGGGAAAACTGAGACTTTCCCTAACAAGGGAGGGAGGGAGGGAGAAAGGAAGGGAAGGAAGAAGGGAGGGAGGGAGGGAGGGAGGGAAGGAAGGAGGAGATACTACACCATGCTTTTATTTAGTTATTCATTTTATTCATTTGGTATTTTACTTTGTTTTTACAGCTTTGAGGTGCGTGTGCGTGCGTGCGTGCATGCATGCATGTGGGGGGGTGGGGGTGGGTGTATAAAGATTTGGAGGGCATATGACAGACATCTACAAAGGAATGACAATGAGGTAGAAGACCTCTTCTTTTCACTACAGAATGATGATAAAGCATTCTACTGGCAAGAAATAAATTCAAACATACATCATATGGGAGAGAAGAATGTGTCACTTAGCTTTGAAATCATTCCAAACATTTACATAGTTCCCAACATGATGTTTCTGTTTTAGAGCCTGTGTTTTTGTTGTTTTGATGTTTTGTTATAGTGGGTATTTTATCAGATCCCATATGTGAGAACTGGAATAAACTCCCTCTCCTTCCCAACATGTGAATAAGCTCTCCTTGCCTTTGGAGCCATTAGTCAAGTCTTGAGTCTCCCATATATGTTACTTATCTCAACTACTGGACTTCAAAATGTATAATTTAGTCAAGGGTGTGACCAACACTGAAAGCTTAGGCTGTGGCAAGGCTTTACAAGCAGAGAGCATAGACTTGGTTGGCCTCAGCCTGGGAGGCCTCACCTGCTAACAATACCTGCACCATCCCCTAGCATGGAGGTACTTCATTTCCTTTGTGCTAGAGATCCCTTGTAATGATCGAGCCCCACCAAAATCATAAACCCCAACCTTTAATTAGACTTTACTTTCCACAAAGGCCTGCATCCATCTAATTTAACAATTAGGCTTGAGTAATGTTGGAATAGTCTCATTATGTAGTTAATACGTTCTATCATGTGTATTTCCTATGAGACTTTTTCTTTTCATGTTATTCTCCCCATGTTTAGGTATTGTGATCCTAAGAATAAGACAATAGCTAGGTGATTTGTGAAATTACACTTTGGTCAACTCATTTCTACCATATATAACAGAACAGTAGTTTGGAAGTACCACAGAAATAAAATTGAATACAATTATTTCATTTAAAGATACAAAATGTAGAGCACAAGAAACTTTATGAGAATAGGTTATGCTTCCTTTTTTTTTCCAGTGAGAAAACTGAGACACAACTTTGGTGACTTACCAAGACCCACAGCTAGTCAATTGGAGCGCTAGAGTTGAAATCCATGAGAAGTGACTGCAGAACCTCTGCTTGCCTGCCCCACCCACCACCTCAAATGTTACCTTAGTTGTGGCCACACAGACACAGCTTGTTAAGAATCAAGTTAAACTGTAGGATCTCTGAGAATAAATCCTATCTTCAATTGGGAATTCCCAGAGTGGAATGAGTTGATTGCTGCAACTTGGTGCAAGCACTAATTCTCAGCTTGCAGTGGTCTCTCAATTGTGAGCAAGCAGCTCCTAATTACCAGTAATGATAATGGATGGATGGATGGATGGATGGGCAAGGAAGATCCATAACACTGGAACACCAATCCCCCCGCCCCCTCCCCCTGCATACACACTAAAGCAAACACTTGATCCTGGGGTAAGTTATTTTTGCAGATTTGCTTTCTTAACTACATTGTGCTATAATTGCCATTAGTCAGTTATTCTCTCTATACCGCAAGGACATTGGAGGATCATTAATGTTGCAAATGCCTCCCATGTTATGCCTCTGTTGAAAATGAGGATGGATTATAAGATCTCTTCTCTAACCCTTCTTAGGGTCTGATATACCAGGTCTTGATCTATACCTTACTGATTTCCCATATTAATAATTTTAACCTGGACAAGGTTTCTTTTTTTGGGGGGGGTCGGGTCGTGAGGCCTGAACTCTGGGCCTAGGTGCTGTCCCTCAGCTCTTCAGCTCAAGGCTAGCACTCTACCACTTGAGCCACAGAGCCACTTCCGGCTTTTTTCTTTTTGCTTATGTGGTGCTGAGGAATCGAACCCAGGGCTTCAGGCATGCAAGGCAAGCGCTCTACCACTGAGCCACCTTCCCAGCCCCCCTTGGTCTCTTTTGTCTCCCATTGCCATAGAAACTCAAGCTGCTTCAAGAATTGCCATTCTTGCCTGTTTCTTTTTCCTAGGCCCTCTATTTAAGTCCCCCTTTCAGCTTTAAATAATCTGCTGAATTAAATTTAAGCTCTTTGATCTTGGCTTCTGGGACCTTCTCTAGTTTGCTCCTCTATACTTCTTCTTTCTTTACTAATGCTTTTTCTTTCTTTTCTTCTTCTTTCTTACCTTCTCCTCCTTCTTCTTCCTTTTTTTTTTTTTTTTTTGGTTTGTTGGTTGTGGGGCTTGAACCCTGGGCCTGGAAGCTGTCCCTGCACTCTTCAGCTCAAGGCAAGCACTCTACCACTTGAGCCACAGCGCCACTTCCGGTTTTCTGAGTGGTTTATTGGAGATAAAGAGTCTCACAAACTTTCCTGCCCAGGCTGGCCTGAACCAAGATCCTCTAATCTCAGTCTCCTGAGTAGCTAGGATTACAGGTGTGAGCCACCAACTCCCTGCTCCTTCCTTTTTTTTTTTTTTTTAAAGAAATAATGTTCAAAAAGAATGTCCTTATTACCTGACTTATGAAACTGTAACACCTCTGTACACCACCTTTATAATAACAATTAAAAAGGAATTTAAAAACTAATACATTCCTGGGGCAAAGATTATGGCAGATTACTGTTAACCGAAGTATTAACTGCTAGAACTAATATATAGCTCTTCAGATTGAAACATTCATCTATATTAGTTCATTTAAGTCTCATGTTCTAATTACATATCGGTTATATATAATTATATCTATGCATATCTAAAACTCCCCAATCTTACGATTTCCTGCCATGTTAAAAAAAAAAAACAAAAAACAAAAAAACACAATCCTGTTACCCTTTTTTTTTTTTCCTGTTACCCTTTTGCTTAACGCTGCTGTCCCCAGGATTTTTTATCAGGGACCCTAGGTGACTGAGACTGGAATAAGGCGGCTTAAATGACAGATCCCTCCAACCTCGACATTTCTCTGAGGAAAGGCCCTGTTAAGTCACAGATTATGCATGAACCGATTATATACTGTGCTTGCTTCTGACTTAAAGCAATTGTCTCTGGATAACTGCTAGTTACGCAGTACCGACCCCTGGCGAACTGTTGTTCAAAGAACTACAAATCCCAGAAAGCCTTTCGGATAACACGCCTGCGCACTGCGCGCTCCTTCCTTTCCGCTCTTAAGTCTCCGGGAAAGACCCGCCCCGCGGCGCTGTCGCTCGCGCTGGAAGAAGCGGAAGAAGATGGCGCTCACCAGGTGGGTTGTTGATTGGGGTCCTCGATACGGAAGAGTCTGTAGGTGCCCATCTTTTTTTTTTTCCCCCCCTCTGCTTGTATTGTGTGGGCAGAGACCTGGCTTAGGATCCAGAACAACGTGGACTTGGCTAAACCCTGTAGCTAGCGCCGCCGCGAGTAGGCCGCGCCAAAGCCGCGGTCTTGCCTGAAGGGCTTCCTGGGTTGAGATGGCCCCCTCACTGGTGCCAGGAGTCGCGCTGCGGCCTCGCGCTGCGGAGCCTCACGTGTTTCCCGCTGAAGCGTCGCGGCGGGTGGACCCTGCTCGCTCGCACACAGCTCATGACTCGGGGGCACGCGGTGGGGCTTGATTCCTTTATTTGTATCGGGGCCGAGCGGAGCGCGCGGGGGCCGCGACGCTGCGCCTTTCGGGCGGGCTGACCGACGGCGATCCTCCCGTTCTCCCGCCACTCTCATTGCTTAACAGAGTCCCGGACCTGCTCTGGGATTCATCTCTTCCTTTTCGAGTTGCCCGCGGTGGTGGCCGCTGTTGACTACTATCTACTCTGCTCTTTACTTTGGATCTCTGAATTTCTTCCGTCGGTAGAACCGTGTCAGGTTCTTGTGCTGTTCCCGGTTGTCTTGGTTACCGGAAGGTAGAGGCGCTCGCCGCCTTTAAGAAAAAGATGTTAAGTGGAGGTTCCAGAAAGTTACATAACTTCTGCCCGGCGACCCTAAGTGGAAAACTTTCCATGCGAACTCCACAGGAAAAGTCTGGTAAAGAAGGGAATGATCTTAGGCCACACGGGTTGGAGCCCCCTTGCTACACATTTTATTTCCCTCACATATGTTTTTCTGCCTGAAACAGCGAATCCTTACAATGCTTTTCTCGTCCGTGTTTTTTTTTCGATCCTAGGGGTTGTGTATACAGAAGGAAATCTGGTTTTGGCTACCGGGAAGGCGGGGTCGTAGACATACGGATAGAAAAACAAAGGACACAAAATGCTCATTTGTGTAGTACTATCCTCTGTGGAAAGAGAATTGTGTAGAATGAGCTGAACAGACGGAAGAGTTTTCTTTAATCAATGTTGTAGGCAGCCAGCATTTGATTGCCCTTCAGGAACTGGGCACTGTGATAGAGATTAGTGGGATTACTTGGGGAAAGGTGGAATTTGGAATGGATGCAAGGAACGATGCCAGAGATGTGGTGATTATGTGGTTGGCGTTGGCAGTGGCAGAATGCAATTTCTAAATGACACCTACATAGCTTTCATTTGGTGTTTATTGGTATCTTTTGTGATATCCTTTAAAATCCCAGTAAATGTAAGCAAATAGGTTTACGGGGTTTTGTTGTTGTTCTGAACTAGCCAGCCCAAGAAGAGGGGCAGTTTTTAGCCAGTAGGTCAGTGGTATGGTGGCCCAGATCTGAAATTGGCATCTGAAGTCCAAGTAGTCTTGCAGGAGACAATACCCCCCTTACTGAGTTTTCAGTAAGATGAGGAGAAACCTTTTTGTATCTGCAGGCTCCCTGTCTTCATGCACTTTACATGGTAGTAGGACAAACTAATACGTGAGTAAAACAAACCAATAATGAATCTAGGTAGTAAGTGCTAGCTAGCGCCAAGGTTAAGGGGCTAGGAAGGAACTCAGAAGTTGAGGTGCAGTGGCTGTTTTGAACAAGATAGAAAACTGCTCTGTGTAGCTGGCACTGAGCAAAGACAGGAATGCCAAGGTGCAAGCTTCTAATAAAAGCATAGAAAAATTGTTCCTAAATAGAATATTTTGCGGCAAAAGGAATAACAGATGTAAAAATGTTAAGATCAGCCAGGCACTGGTGGCTGATACTTGTAATCCTAGCTACTCAGGAGGCTGAGATCTGAGGATCACAGTTCAAAGCCAGCCCCCTGCAGGAAAGTCAGATTGTTATCTCCAATTAACCACTAGAAATCTGAAGTGGCCCTGTGGCTCAGTAGTAAAGCACTAGCCTTGAGGGAGGGAACTCAAGGACAGAGCCCAGGCCTGAGTTCAAACCCCCAAATCCCCTTTCCCCCCAAAAACAAAAACAAACAGGCAAAAAGTCTGTAGTGATACAGAGATGGAGACTTCCAGGGGCAGAATGGATTTATTTCTCTTACAAACATTTAAGGAACTCCTCCTATTGTCAGCTAGACAATGCCTGGACAGGGATCAAAGAAATGGAAGACATGATTCTGATTCTCTGGTTGCTTTCAGTCTAGGTAAATGAATAGATGGTTACAGTACATTGTTGTAAACGTATACAGAGGATCTGGTGAGAGCATAAATTGGAGCAACCAACCCAAATTGGAATCATGGAACAGCTCCAAATAATCAAACATTTATAAAATATGTATTGAGCAGTATCTAGATGCTCTGCGCCTACTGGTTCATGAATGTTCTCTTTTAATACTCACAAATTCTCTAGTATAAGTAGATAAGAAGACTTATCAGTACAGATGGGAAAAATAGTTCAGCGAGGTAAGTACCTTATACAAGTTTTTATGTAGTGTCAGTAGGAATTGACTCTGAGCTCTTAGCCATCACATCACCTCACCTTGCTGCCTGAGATGGGTTGGGTGCATCTCAGGGATGTCATACTCTGCTGTAGGCTGTCCTGACAATTTATACTTTTCCTTTATTACTTAATATATTTGTAGTTTGGTATGAATTTTTTTTTTGTGGGGGGGGTCTGGTCGTGGGGTCTGAACTCTGGGCCTGGGCACTGTCCCTCAGCTCTTCAGCTCAAGGCTAGCGCTCTACTATATTTGTAGTTTGGATTTGGATTTCTGTGATTGTTTTTCTCCCTTCAAGCCAGTAAGCTGTCTCAGTTTATAGTCCTATTGCCTACCTAGTGTAGTACCTGACCAAGTAATCAATAAGTAATAAAAGTATTAAGTATTAATAAAAGTATTTAATAAAAGAGTAAATTCTATAGCAGCCAAGAAGGAAAAAAGATTTGAATTATTTTTTCCCTAAAATAGGCTCATCTGCTAGAATCCATTCTTTTTTCTTCTTTGTTTTGGCACTTTGGGTATCACTATAATAACATAAAACCTAAAAGTTGTTGAAAATGGTAGAAATATTAAATAGTTGTTACATATTTTGGATTTCTGCTTTCATTCTTAGACCTCTTTAAATTTAAATTTTTAATTCTAAACTAGATACCCTTGAGAAAAGCATGTAAATATGCAATGCTTGTTTTCTTTTATCTACCTCCTCTTTGTTACATAGGGACATAAGAATAAAATAGTTCCAAAAAGGTATATAAGAATTGGAAAAGCCAGATACTGAGAGACCAAAAATAAGTTTAGCAGTAATTTCAGACAAAACTAAAACATTTGTCATCTGTTACTAGAAAGTAAGTGTTAGATCCTGCACCAAGGCAAGATAACAGTAAGAATTATTAAGGGATCAGTCTGCCCTGACCAGTCCAGGCATTTGGGCAGTCTCTCCCCCCAACTCTGTCGAGAAAACATTTAGGACAAGACATAATTCAGCATTCCTGTGGTTAGCCCCACTTATCCAACCAATGGTGTATGATTTAACCTATCCTGTAACCGCTAAGCTAGAAAGTCCCTGTCCTTACTGCAAATGATCATACTGGAAATGATCATACTCCTAACCAGTGAGCTTGACAACCTTCCCCCTGCTATCTACACAATAAAAACCCTGCTGAACATGTGGTCGGGGCTCATAACTCTGACCTGCTGCATCAGTGACGATTGTGAGTCCAGACTCGAGCTTGCAAATAAAAGACTCTTTTGCTATTTGTGGTCTCTGGGGGTCACTCAGGGGTCTCGAGTTCAAGTCTAACAATATCATGTCCCACACTTGTAATCTCATCAAGAACTTGAAGGAGGAGGATCAGGGATTTAAAGCCAGCCTGGACAACAAAAAGAGAGAAAGGAAGAAGAGGAGAAAGGATAATCCATGTTCTAAGAGAAATATGGAAGCAGAAGTGTTCAATAGTTATGTAAAATACATTAATTTTTTTATTCTGGACATGTTTTTGAGTACTTCTTCATTCCACAGTAGTAAAATGATCAATATTGCATTCTTCCATAAATCATTGAAAAGCTTGTTATTGGTTGCTAAGGAAAATCATCTGATAGTGAAGTTGTAATAATAAAATGTGAGTTATTTTAAATTCTGACCTCTGTTTTTATAGCTTTTTACCTGCACCTACTCAGCTCTCTCAGGACCAACTTGAAGCTGAAGAGAAGGCAAGATCTCAGAGGTCACGGCAGACCTCCCTGGTCTCGTCCCGCAGAGAACCTCCCCCATATGGGTACCGGAAAGGCTGGATACCTCGATTGTTAGAGGTAAGTGTGCATGTTGTGTTTGTATTTATTGTGCTGAAATTTATTATCTTACACTTGTAAAATAAATGTAAACTCTAGCGTTTCTGATTAGTAATGTTAGGTTGGTAAAAAAAAAATTGTGATTGAGATATTCATATCCCACAGTAGATTTTTCTTTTTTAGTCTGTCCTGGGGCTTAAACTCTGGGTCTGGGTGCTGTCCCTTAGCTCAAGGTGAGCGCTCTACCACTTGAGCCACTGCGCCACTTCTGGTTTTCTGGTGGTTACTTGGAGATTAGAGTCTTATGGATATTCCTGCCCGGGCTGGCTTGAATCTTGATCCTCACATCTCAGCCTCCTGAGTAGCTAGGATTATAGGCATGAGCCACCGGCACCTGGCTAAAATGGTAGGTTTTTTTTGTTTTGTTTTGTTTTTTCATTCATGGGGCCAGAACTCAGGGCCTGGGCGCTGTCCCTCAGCTCTTCAGCTCAAAGTTAGCACTCTACCACTTGAGCCACAGCACCACTTCTGGCTTTTTCTGCTTATGTAGTGCTGAGGAATCGAACCCAGGCTTCATATATGCAAGGCAAGCACTCTACCACTGAGCCACCTTCCCAGCCCCTGACTTTTCTTTTTCTTCTTGCTTATCACTGGTTTGTGATCACCAGAGAGCTGCACCATTTTTTCTAATCATACCAAACTATTAAACATGCACCAAAAGAACTAACATACCCTTTCTAAATCTAGAGATCAAAGCACATGAACAATAATGTGAAAGTAAGAGAAATAAAGGAGTAATTGAAGTGGTTTTAATATCTTCAATTTGAGAATAGTAACACCTGCCTGATAAACAGATGAGTTACATTTTTAGGAAATTTGAGAGACAAAAATTGGGTAGTAGATTTGGAGGAAGTAGGAGAGAAAGAGTCTGGACTGATACCTTTTTTTATCCTTTTATATTAGAATCCTGATTGTTCAGCATCCTTTAAAAAGTCAGTTCAGTGCATATTCCTTCTCCTAACTCTAAGGAAACCTTCCCGTGCTTGGCTATCTTCTCTATCCAGGGAAAAAAATGAACATTTAAGACTAATGTTTTGCTTACACAAGACCTTCCCCACGTTCATCAACCCTTTTCTCCCTCTCCAAGTTTTCATTCTTCTGATTCCTTTGTGTACACACACATGTATGCACGTTTGCATACATGCATATGCACATGCCAGTCCTAGAGCTTGAACTCAGCCTTGATCTTTTGTGCTCAAAACTGGCACTCTACCATTTGAGCCACAGCTCCACTTCTGGCTTTTTTTTGATGTTTAGTTGGAGATTAAAGTCCCATAGTCTTTCCATGCCTGAGCTGGCTTTCAACCTCAGCCTCCTGAATAACTAGCATTACTTACATGAGCTGCTGTACCCAGCCTTATTCCTTCTTATATGTCTCAGAGAATGTTTGTGTACTATTAAAAATCTGAAGTGGGGCTGGGAAGGTGGCTCAGTGGTAGAGTGCTTGCCTTGCATGCATGAGGCCCTGGGTTCGATTCCTTAGGACCACATAAGCAGAAAAAGCTGGAAGTGGCGCTGTGGCTCAAATGGTAGAGCATTAGCCCTGAGCTGAAGAGCTGAGGGACAGCACCCAGGCCCAGAGTTCAGGCTGCAGGACCAGAAAAAAAAAAAATCTCAAGTGACTATGTAATTCATTTTTATACCTGAATGAGATTCCTCCTGCCTCCAGCAATGCTGGAACTCAAGGTCTCATACTTGCTAAGCAGATGCTGTAACACTGATGCCAAACTCCCAGCCCTTTTTTTTTTAAACCCGAATGCCATTGAGAGTATAATTCTACCTAAGACTTCTCATGTAGCTGGGATGACTGATATGTATCACCACACCTAGGGTATTGCCTTTAATAAGTCTTGCTGACTTAGTTGTCAGGCTGGCCTCAAACTGTGATCCAGTTTCCACCTCCTCAGAAGCTGGGATTATAGGCCTGAGCCATTATACTCAATTATATTCAATTATGTTGGTTATTTCACATTCTTACATTCTTTTCTTAGGTGTTTATGACTTTATTTTACAAATGAGAAGAGCGCTTGCCTTTTTTTCATCTGCCTCTAAATGGTGGTTATAGTATTCTTGGAACTGAAACTTTTGCTTAAAATCCTACCAGAAGCCATCTGTATTCTGTCTCATGATTGTAATTTCCTACATTCCGTACAAATCCTAGAAGATGAACATATAACCAAATCAGATCCCTCATTCTTTTCCCCTTAGTCTCCTCCAGACTTTATGAATTCTAGTGTGTGAAGGCCAGTTTAGTGTGTTAAGGGATGTTCATGGTTGCTTTTGCTCTCTGATAGAGAAATTTGTGAGAAACAACAAAATAAAGCATGATCAAGGAAGCTATAACCTGGAGCCAGAGAGATAGTGATTGGTATTATATAATTGAGGAGTTCTGTGTTTAACTTGAGAGGGTTTAGGGAGTCTTTCTTAGATACTCAGTAGATAGCAGAATAGGTGTGGCAAACCTCATTTTACAGTGGAGTCTCATCTTTGCATTTCAGCTTTATGACATGCTGTAGCTGTTAGCTTTTTAAAATCGTAATTGATGGATTACCAAAGGTTTCATATGTCCTGGTAGAACAGCAGTTTATTTAAAAATAAAACTAAAATAAGGCTAGCTAATCTGGAAATGGCCATGGATGCTTTCAGGGGAGTGAATGTTCTGTGGAAGAAGGCATTTTGTTCTAGTTTTCATAGTAAAAGCTATGATTTTCTGGCAAGTTTAATGACCACATAATGCTACATCTACAGTTCTCAAGTGCTTATTATAGTTGAAGAACTCTAACAAATCTGAACATGTGTCAAAGTGATATTCTGGGTACAGGAAGCCTTTTTCTTAGGAATTCTTTATTTCTACCTAGTTTATAAGAACATACCTTTGATGGTCTCCAAAGATTTCTAATCTCTCCTTAGTAAATAAGCATGTTGTACTAGGAATTTACATATCCTAGATCTAATGAAATGTATTAAGAAGTCTTGTAAAAAAAAAAAAAGCAGATTTAACTTTTTATCAAACCTCTGATTGATCTTTTTATCATTCTTTTGTTTGTGTCCCCATTGTGAAGTTTGAATTCAGGGCCTGGGTGCTTTCCCTGAGCTTCTTCACACAAGGTTAGTACTCTCTATCACTTTAGCCATAGCTCTACTTCTGGCTTTTTTGGTGGTTAATTGGAGATGAATCTCACAGACTTTCCTGTCCAGACTAGCTTTGAACTGTGATTCTTAGGTATCAGCCTCCTGAATAGCTAGGCATCAGTCACCAGCACAGGACTCTTTATCATTTTTATTACAGGTTGAGTATACCTTAACTAAAATGCTTGGTACCAGAAATATTTCAGATTTCAGAATTTTTTTTTTTTTTTTTTTTGTAGGTTGTGGGGCTTGAACTCTGGGCCTGGGTAATGTCCTTGAGCTCTTCAGCTCAAGGCTAGCACTATACCACTTGAACCACAGCACCACTTCTGGCTTTTTCTGTTTATGTGGTGCTGAGGAATCCAGGTTGTCATGCATGCGAGGCAAGCACTGTACCACTGAGCCACTTTCCCAGCCTCTTCAGAAGTTTTTGAATTTGAGAATATTTACAAAGCCCTTACTAGTTGAACAGTTCTAATCCAAAAATGAGAAATCTAAAATCTAAAACTTTCAGACATCATCTCAGTGCTCAAAAAGCTTTCAAAGCCAGGTGGCAGTGGCTCACACTGGTAATCCTAGCTACTCAGAAGGCTGAGATCTTAGGATCACGTTCAAAGCCAGCCCAGGCAGGAAAGTCTGTGAGATTCTTTTTTTTTTTGGGTCTGGTCGTGGGGCCTGAACTCTTGGCCTGGGTGCTGTCCCTCAGCTCTTCAGCTCAAGGCTAGTGCTCTACCACTTGAGCACCACTTCCGGCTTTTTTCTTTTTGCTTATGTGGTGCTGAGGAATCGAACCCAGGGCCTCAGGATACAAGGCAAGCTCTCTACCACTGAGCCACCTTCCCAGCCATCTGTGAGATTCTTATCTCCAATAAACCACTCAGAAAACCAGAAGTGGAGCTGAGGCTCAAGTGGTAGAGCGCTAGCCTTGAGCTGAAGAGCTGAGGGACAGCGCCCAAGCCCAGAGTTCAAGCCCCATGACCAGCCAAAAAAAAAGCTTTCAGTCTTCAGATTAGGATTGCTCAGCATGCATTGGCTTTATTTTGAACTAAAAGAAAGGCATTTCATAGGGTAGAAAGTTTTTTGGACTTAAAAGATTAGGGTTATTGGGCCTGGGAAGTTGGCTCAGTGGTAGAGTGCTTGCTTTGCATGCATGAGGCCCTGGGTTTGAATCCTCTGCACCACATAAGCAGAAAAGGTCGGAAGTGGCGCTGTGACTCAAGTGGTAGAGTGCTAGCCTTGAGCTGAAGAGCTGAGGGACAGCGCCCAGACCCAGAGTTCAGGCTCCACGTAACTGATTTAAAAAAGAAAAGAAAAAGATTAGGGTTCATGCTGCCACTGTTGGCTCACACCTATAAACCTTGCTACTCAGGAGGCTGAGATCTGAGAATTGCAGTTCAGAGCCAGCCTGGGCAGGAAAGACTGTGAGATTCATCTTTAAGCAACAAAAAAGCCAGAAGTGGAGCTATGGCTCAAGTGGTAGAGCACTAACTTTGAGCAAAAAAGCTCAGAGACAATGCCCAGGCCCTCAATTCACACCCAGGACTAGCATGTGCACACGCATGCCCGGGATCGCACGCGCGGGATCGCGCGCGCGCGCGCACACACACACACACACACACACACACACACACACACACACACACACACACACACACACACACACACACATATTCTGGGTTCAAGTCCTGCATATATGCTGACTGTGAGACCTTGAGAAATTTCTCAATTATTTCAGAGTTTATACGAAAATGAGTTTTCTGAAGAGTTATAAGTATTTAATAAGTTAGTTTAATATGTTACATTTTGTAAATTACAGTGTTCTATGTAAGAGCTAACAAATTTTTTAAGCTATTTAAAAATTATATTTGTCCAGGCTCATATTTGTAATCCTAACCACTCAGGAGGCTGAGATCCAGAGGATTGAAGTTCAGAGCCAGCCCATGCAGAGACTATCCATGAGACTATCTCAAAAAGAGAATAAAAAAGCAAAGCCAGGCATCGGTAGCTCATGCCAGTAACCTTAGCTACTTAGATGACAGATCTGAGGATCATAGTTCAAAGCCAGCCTGGGCAGGAAAGTCCATGAGACTCATATCCAGTTAGTGGCGGGGGAGAGGTGGCGCCAAACCTGGAGCTGTGGCTCAAGTGTTTGAGGTCCAGCTTCGAGTGAAAAAGCTCAGGAACAGTGCCCAGGGCCTGAGTTCAACCTCACAATAGGCACCAAAAAAATAAAAAACAAACACCAAAAAGCAAACAGAAAGAAGGAATGTAATATTTAATTTCTAGTTCTTGCTGTTTTATTTACTTGCTTCCCATTATAACAGTTAAATGATACCATGTTACTAAAATCTGATTCCAAGAAACTTGGTTTTACATCTCTGTCCTTAGGTTACATACCTGTTACTCTGGGTGCATGTGCCTGTGTGTATGCTAAAATTAAAGTCTTTGTTTTATCCTAAACACTTTGCTTAGGCCCTTTATGATTTGGTGTTAATCTCCACCTGTAACCTGCGTCATTTCTTTTTTTTTGGTCTGGTCGTGGGGCCTGAACTCTGGGCCTGGGCGCTGTCCCTCAGCTCTTCAGCTCAAGGCTAGTGCTCTACCACTTGAGCCACAGTGCCACTTCCAGCTTTTTTTTTTTTTTTTTCTGCTTATGTGGTGCTGAGGAATCGAACCCAGGGCCTCATGCATGCAAGGCAAGTGCTCTACCACTGAGCCACCTTCCCAGCCCAAAAAACTGTAAGCCTCTTTTTTTTTTTTCTGTCAGTCGTGGGACTTGAACTCTGTGCTTGGGCGCCGTCCCTGTGCTCTTCAGCTCAAGGCGAGTGCTCTACCACTTGAGCCACAGTGCCACTTCCACCTGCGTCATTTCTGTCCTCACTTAATTTGTTAACTCCATTAGACAAAGCTCATTGTTATAGTCATAGCTTTCACCTTTGCCATTTGCTTTTCTTGGAAAGTGCTCTCCTTAGATCTTTTTCATAACTACTTTCTCTTCATTAAAGGCTTTATCTCACATGTTAATTCTTCACAAAGACTATCCCAACCACCCTATTGAAAATAGCACCTCTTCCCAAGACCTTCATAGCCCTTATTACAAACCAAAAAGTATAGGTTTTTTTTTTTTTTTTTTTAAAGAATCTTTATCCATTAGAATGTAAGCTTTAAAAGATCAGAGACTTCTGTTTTGTTTTATACCCTCTAGCATACCACAGAGTCAGTAATTATATGTTGAATGACTATATCTCAAATTTCTAATTACTATTAAATATTTTACTTCTTTTAATATACAGGATTTTGGAGATGGAGGTGCTTTTCCAGAGATCCATGTGGCCCAGTATCCACTGGATATGGGACGAAAGAAAAAAATGTCAAATGCACTGGCCATTCAGGTAGATCCTGAAGGAAAAATTAAATATGATGCAATTGCTCGACAAGGACAGTCAAAAGACAAGGTAATCATTTTGATTTTTTTTTTTAACCTCACAGACAGATATTTTGTAAATTTTATTTTAAGTTTGTTGAAATAAATTGGGTGCCAGTAGTTCACACCTGTAATTCTAGCTACTCAGGAGGCCGAGATCTGAGGATTTCAGCTCAAAGCCAGCTCAGGCAGAAAAGTATATCTCCAATAAACTACAATAAAAAACCCAAAAAACGGAGCAGGGTTAAGTGGTAGAGTGCTAGCTATTCTTAAGTGAAAAATGCTAAGGGATAGCATCTAAGTGCTGAGTTTAAACCCCAGGACCAGCAAAAAAATGACCAAAAAAAAAGTTTGTGGAAATGATAAAACTCCTGCTATTTGGATTATGTTAAAAATAGCAATGAAACCAGGCTCTGGTGTAATCCTAGTTTCTCAGGAGGCTGAGATCTGAGGATCATGGTTCATAGCCAGCCCGGGCAGGAAAAGCCAGGAGACTCTTACCTCCAATAAACCACTAGAAAACCAGAAGTGGCACTGTGGCTCAAGTGGTAGAGTGCTGCCTTGAGCTGAAGAGCTGAGGGACAGCACCCAACCCCAGAGTTCAAGCCCCATGACCGACCCTCCCCCCCCCCCCCCCAAAAAAAAAAAAAATAGCAATGAGCTGTGTGTTGTGGTGCACACAGGAAGCTGAGGTTGGAGAATCATGAGATGAATACCATCTTGGACTATATAGTGAAACTCTCAGAAAGTACTAGTGAAGTTAAGGCCATAACTGAATGCTAGAACATACTTAGCATTCACAAAGTTCAGGGTTTAAACAGCACCAAGAAAAAAAGACCCCAAAATTAGAAGTATCAGTGATATATGTAAATGTTAACCTCAGTAGTCAACAATAGCTTTATCCTTTGAGATTCTCCACAAACTGGTGATTGGTTTTATAATTATGGTTTGGCTTATTTGTTTTACATTTCAAAAACAGTGCTAACAAACTTTAAAATTATGATTCTGGAAAGTTAAACCACCCTTTTTTTTGGATGTATAATAGTTATGGGACACAGGGCCTTATTCATATTAGATACACACCCAGCCCCAAATCAGCTTTAATTCTCTCTAATCTCTTCTAATTCTGTCAGTGTATTTACAGAATACTTATGTAGAGACTTACTTTGCTTCATTTGTTATTTTGTGGATGGTGTTAACAGTCCAACCCAGAGCATTGCGCATGTTGTTTGCACAGTAATACTGAGCTATGTCCCCAGATCTTATTTTAATAGTTTATTTGAATTTAACAAATTGCATGTACTTATTTTACCCTAGATTAAGTATAAAACTATCACCATCTAGGTTTAGTATTGCCCTACTTACAAAGTAATCCAGACTAAGTATAAATTTTTTTTTTTTTTTTTTGGGTCCGGTCGTGGGGCCTGAACTCTGGGCTTGGGCGCTGTCCCTCAGCTCTTCAGCTCAAGGCTAGCGCTCTACCACTTGAGCCACAGCACCACTTCTGGCTTTTTTCTTTTTGCTTATGTGGTGCTGAGGAATGGAACCCAGGGCCTCGAGCATGCAAGGCAAGCGCTTTACCACTGAGCCACCTTCCCAGCCCCCTAAGTATAAAATTTTAAATAATGCTGGGCGCCAGTGGCTCCTGCCTGTAATCCTAGCTACTCAGGAAGCTGAGATCTGAAGATCGAGGTTCAAAGCCAGCCCAGGCAGAGAAGCCCATGAAACTCTTATCCCAATAAACCACCAGAAAACTGGAAGTGGCGCTGTGGCTCAAGTGGTAGAGCACTAGCCTTGAGCTGAAGAGCTGAGGGACAACGCCCAGGCCCAGAGTTCAAGCCCCACAACTGACAAAATTAATAATACTCATGCAACTGTAACCCTTCTGTATGGTATTTTCACAATAAAAAACAATTAAAATAATAATAATTTGGTCACAGAATAACTATACACAGAGCCAAGGAACTATTCTTTTTTTTTTTTTTTTTGGTCTGGTTGTGGGGCCTGAACTCTGGGCCTGAGCGCTGCCCCTTAGCTCTTCAGCTCAAAGCTAGCACTCTATCACTTGAGCCACAGCGCCACTTCTGGCTTTTTTTCTTTTTGCTTATGTGGTACTGAGGAATCGAACCCAGGGCCTCAGGCATGCAAGGCAAGCGCTCTACCACTGAGCCACCTTCCCAGCCCCTGGAACTATTCTTAAGAAGACCTAGTTTTGGGTTTTTCCCTCTCTTGTAAATAAATACTTAAGTTAGAAGATTTCTTTAGAATTGGTGATGTTAGGAAAAAATACTTGAGAACATTGATTACCTATCCTTTGCCTCTGTTCCCAGACTTTTTTATTTTACTCCCTGAAATAACTAACAACCCATCCACTGCTACATCATAGCTGATAAGCTTTGGGAAGAATGCAGTCATTCAAATTTGTATTTCCTGTTCAGCTCTGCTCCTCATACTCCTGGCAAACAGTAATTCATGTTCCTCTCCATATTGTTTATCCTGAACACATGACTTTCATCTGTTTTAATATAATAGAAGAAAACTATCACTCCACGTGTCTTTTTCTTTTCGTTTCCATAAGAAATCTCTATCTAAGCCTTATGTGTTCAAGTTCTTCATTCCTTCCCTTTTCTTCTGTAACTTCACCTTTTCATTATTTTTGACTGTCTTTGACCCCTCCTTTTCTAATGGTTCCTTCCTGAGGGGCCTGAAAGTTTGACACAAAGGCAACCACTGGTGTTTGTTGGGCAACTGACACCAGTTTTCATTTTTTTAACAAAAAACTTTGTTTTGAAGTCACTGAGAGCTGGGCTTGTAGCTTAGTGGTAGAGTACTTATTTAATATACACGAAGCCTTAGATTCAATCTGATCCCCAAAACTCTAAGAAATTCCAACAACCAAGACCTCAGTAAGGATGTATAATGGCTGCATGATCTGTTCATGAAAAAAAATAATAAAGTCCTTATAGATGGAGATCATAATGCTGGAAATTTACCCTGTGTTTTAGAAGCCTTTATTTTACTCTGGCTCTCTTTGTTTGGGTATATCCCTCCTTTGGGGATTACCATTCTTTATAAATCTGATACCTCTCTGCTCCTATTTGTTAAGAGAGGCAACATTTTAGGGCAGCTACTTAACATCGTCAGGGCATTTGACAGTTCAGCTTTAGCTCATTTTCTATTATATTTTAAGGCTGGAAAGTATGAATTTGGTTTATAGAGACTATCTGGACGTTCTCTCCCTTTTCTGTATAATAACTGTCTACATTTTACCTTTCATTGAAATAGAGTAGACTGTTAAAACTGAACAGTATTATTTTTTATTCTAGTATTTTTTATCAAATAAGGTCTCTAAAGCATTGTTTCTGTGTCCATTAATAGCTTTACATTTTATCTATATTGCACAAGAACTGAACCTAAAACTGGTAATTTAGAGACATTTCACTCTCAGATTCATAACAACTATAAGTGGATAGATTAATACATGAAAAAATATTTATGTTTTTAATTGTAAAAATAGTGTATAGAGGGGTTACAGTTACATGAGTAAGGTAATAAGTACATTTCCTATCAAGCATTGTTACTTCCTCCTTTGTTTTTCCCCTACCATCCCTTCCTTCCCCACCTCCCTTACTTCTTCCTCCCTACCCCATGAAAATTTTGAATGCATTAAATAATTCACCTTAAACTGAGTGCTTATTACATACCATTGGCATTTTGAGGAGGATACTTTTTGATGGTTCAGGGCTTTCTTGAGCATTACACAGTGTTTAACCAGTTGTCTTGAATAATATAAAATATTTAACCTAACTGGTATGTCCTGTTAAATGCTAGTAATGTCCTTGCCCTATCCCTACTCTTACATTCACAAGAACATCTACAGAGCCTCCCGGAGGGGAGCTAGAAATTGGCAGTGATGCCCCGTGTGAATACTATTGATTTTTCTGTTTTAGAAGAAATAGGAATTGACTACTTACTATATAAATTTTAATTTTAAAAACTCAATGTCATTTAAGACTGGTATGCAGAATACTTGTCAAAGTAGTCTAGTTGATTTTTTTCAATTTATACTAAAGTTTATAGATGCCTGCTTCATCCCAGAGGAATCTGATATTCTTTAGAGAATTTTAATAGTGAAAGGGCAAGAATGGAAATGCTAACTGTACATATAAAGTCCAGTTCTTTGCAGAGAAAATCATCTGCTTTTTAGATGTGTTATTGCTTTACCTTGATCACAGAACTCATTTATACTCCTTCAAGGAGGAGTATAAAAAGATACCCTTCAAGGGTATCTTTTTTTCTTTTTCTTTTTTTTTTTTTTTCTTTTTCTTTTGGACTTGGGGCTTGAACTCTGGGCCTGGGTGCATCTCTCAGCTCTATCACTTGAGCCACAGTGCCACTTCCGGTTTTCTGAGTGGTTTATTGGAGATAAGAGTCTCCTAGCCTTTCCTGCACAGTCTGGCTTTGAACTGTGATCCTCAGATCTCAGCTTCCTGAGTAGATAGGTTTACAGGCATGAGGTTTACAGGCATGAGCCACTGGCGCCCTGCTCAAGGGTATCTCTCCAGCCCATTGCCTTCTAGGATATACTGAGTTTCTTAACACATTTGGTTCCGGCTATAAAAATTTTAGATTTTGGGCTGGGAAGGTAGCTCAGTGGTAGAGTGTTTGCCTTGCATGCATAAGGCCCTGGGTTCGATTCCTCAGCACCACATAAGCAGAAAAAGTTAGAAGTGGTGCTGTGGCTCAAGTGGTAGAACGCTAGCCTTGAGCTGAAGGACTGAAGGATAGCACCCAGGCCCAGAGTCCAAGCCCCACAACCAACAAAAATAAACAAAAGTTTTAGATTTTATAGTAAATTACCACAGGAATTTTGCTTTCCAGATGTCTTTCACTTTGCCCTGTGAAGGAATTTTGCTCTTCAGATGTCCTTCATTCTGCTAGAATCTTACTGATGCTCATTTAAAGGGTTATTAACTTAGGAATACTCAAATAAGAAGCAGCAACTGGCTCTTGTATGCTAAATTAGTATTGAGATTTTATGTTGAACATATATGACTACCAGGGAACATTTGTTCAGAATCTCTTCCTATAGTGATTGCTGTATAAAAGTGATTAACTGTTCCTAATCTTGGTATTATCTTGTACAGTATTACGTAATTTCTGGTTTGTGTTGGTGTTAATATTTCTTTTTTTATTGTGAAAATACCATATAGAGGGGTTACAATTACATGGGCAAGATAATAAGTACATTTCTTACCAAGCATTGTTGCCTCCTTCTTTGTTTCCCCTTCCCATCCCTTCCCATCTCCCCCAACCCCCTCTGGTGTTACTATTTCTATCCTGAAAACAAGAAAGACTTTTGAGGTCAGGTACTAGCTATATATCCTAATGTACCCTTCTCACTAGATTGAGCTCTAGGATCCTTCCCAAAATGAACACTTAAATTTTGATAACAGTCATAGCTCACGTAGCAGGAGTATACTTATGCTAAATCCATACTTTTTTGAACATGTCCCTCTTCTTACTCTGTGGAACAACAAATTTGAGACTTCTATTTGTAGCTTTGAGGAAGGGTTTTTTTCCTGGAAAATCAATAGCTTATATTGAAATTTAGGAGCCTAGTGCAGTGGTGCACAGCTTGTAGTCCCAAGTTCTTTAGGAGGTTGGGGCAGGAAGATTCCTTGTGCCCAAAAGTCCAGAGCCAGTCTAAACAAATGTAATAAAACCCCCTATCTTTTTTTGTGTGGCGGGGTGGGGAGGGGAGGAAGAAGTACTATGGTTTGAACTCAAGATTTCACACCTGCTAGTCAGGTGTTCTGCCCTTTGTACCACTCCTCAAGCCCCTTTTTGCTCTGGTTATTTTTTGAGATAGGATCTTGTTTTTTACCAAGGCTTACTTGGACCACAGCCCTCATTTATATTTCCAGATGTAGCTAGAATGATAGGTATGCCCACCATCTCCAACTTTTTCTATTGAGGTAAAGGTTTGAGAACTTTTACCTGGGCTAGCCTAGGGGTATGAGCCACTGGCACACAGTTTGTTCATTTTTTTAAAAATAAGTACCTTTAGGGCTGGGAATGTGGCTTAGTGGTAGAGTGCTTGCCTAGCATGCATGAAGCCCTGGGTTCAATTCCTCAGTACCACATAGACAGAAAATGCCAGAAGTGTTGTTGTGACTCAAGAGGCAGAGTGCTAGTCTTGAGCAAAAGAAGCTCAGAGACAGTGCCCAACCCTGAGTTCAAGCCCCAAGACTGGTAAAAAAAAGTGTGTGTATGTATACGTCCTGTGGACTGGAAATAGATTAATGAATATTAAACATTAATGTGAGTATAATCATTATGCATACCTCATAGGTTCATTGTGACAGATGAGTTTATAGAAAGCAAAAAATATTCAGTAAGAAATATTAGTTGTTAATGAGTTTTATTCTTTTAAAGGAGAGACAAAGTAAACTAGGAAAATAACTCCATGGTATAAAAAGTGTTCTGAGGACAGGAAACAGTGCTATGTATGCCTCATAGCACTGTTTTTGTTTTTGTTTTGTCGGTTGTGGAGGCTGAACTCTGGGTCTGGGTGCTGTCCCTCAGCTCTTCAGCTCAAGGCTAGCACTCTACCACTTGAGCCACAACGCCACTTCCGGCCTTTTCTGCTTGTGTGGTGCTGAAGAATTGAACCCAGGGCCTCATGCATGCAGGGCAAGCACTCTACCACTGAGCCAACTTCCCAGCCCCAGGATTTCCATTTGAAGCCAATCCAGACAGGAAAGTATATGATACTTTTATCTCCAGTTAACTACCAAAAAGCCTGAAGGAGAGGTGAGGCTCAAGTAAGTAGAGTGGTGACACTGTTCAGGCCCTGAGTTCAAGCCCTAGTTGCTGCACAAAAAAATAATAACAACTTGAAGAACTGTGAACAGAAACTATCAAACTGGTAGAAAGCACATCATGTCCAAGGAACAGAAGAGCTTTCATAACTGAAGCATGATGAGGGAGAGAGTAGTAAGGAGAGTAAGGCAGAGTCAGGTCAGCCAGAGTAAACCAGAAAGTGTCTTTCTTTCCTTTGTTTAGAGTGGGAAATTAGGAATAATGCACATTTCCTTTAAATTGTTTTAGGGCTTTTTGGCTGTACTGAGAATTGAACTCAGGACCTCATGCTTACCAGCCAGGCCCTGTACCACTCAAGCTATTCTACACGCCCCTTTTTTGTGTTATTTTCAAGATAGATCTCACTTTATGCTCAGACTGGCCTGGACTGTGGTGCTTCCCCTCATAGTTTGGAATGACAGGTGTGCACTACTATGCCCAGCCATTGATCGAGACAGATTCTCACTCTGGAGAGAGAGAAGGAAGGCAAGGAAGGGGTCACTCTGGCCTCAAACTTCAATCCCCTGATTTCTGCCTCCCAAGGACCTAGAATTGCAGGCTTGCACCACTTTGCCCAACTTCTTTGCACTGTTTTAAGGAACGTCATGTGATAGAATGCAATTGTAATATGAGACTTCAACTTGTACTTCGAACAGTTGTCTTCTATAGAGGTTTTTTGAAGATTGCAAATGCCTAAGAATTTTTTCTTTCATATTCTTAAGTTTCCTTTCTCCGTATGCATGTCAAACACTTTCTAACAAGCATTGAAGTCTAGAGTACTTATGTTTAAAATTTCTGGTATCTCTCTTCTCTTTTTTTTTTTTTTAAGTTAAAATTTGCCATGTAGTTTTTAACTATTTTGACTAAATGGGCATAAACTAAAAATACTCTATTTATGATGGGCCTGTCACATAAGTATCAGCCTAAAAGAAGCTATGTTGGGCTTAGTCTAACTCATAGAAATGCTTACTTGGAGTATAGATTAAGATATGTATGTACAATGAATTTCAAAATGTTCTGAGTTTTTTTAACTTTGGCACATACTCATTTTCTTAGTCTGAACAGAATTGATTCCAGAAAAGAGAAACATATAAATAGGATGAGGTCAATGAAATTTTCTAGGCCCAGTGAATTTGGAAATTATTTGGTAACCTGACTTAAATTTTGATGAGTTTTTAATCCAAGATAATGGTGCTGGAGGCAATTTATATAATCATTAATTTCAAGTCCTAGTGAGCCTCAAAAATAGAGATCACTGATGCATAAGATTTTGTTGGCACAATTTATTTGGATACTGACTTGATTAGAACATCTCAAATAATTTAAATGCATAAGGGTCAAGGGAAAATTATTAACTTACAACCAGAGCAGCAATTTGTATGTATTTTAAGCTTCCTTGGCTTTAAAATCTAAGAAACAAAACTAAGTGTCCTAAATGCATAAGAGTGCTGAGGGGACTTGTTGACACGTAAAATGACTTAATGGGGTTGCTTCTTTTCATTCTCTGATTTTCTTAAGCCTGCTTGTGTTTAAACATTTTAGGTCATTTATAGCAAATATACTGACCTGGTTCCAAAGGAGGTTATGAATGCAGATGATCCAGACTTGCAAAGACCTGATGAAGAAGCTATTAAAGAGGTAACTGGAAATTGACATATCATTATTTTGGTGACTTTTTACAACCTTATTAACTTACAGACCACTGAATATGATGTTTCTGATTTCAGATAACAGAAAAAACAAGGGTAGCCTTAGAGAAGTCTGTATCACAGAAGGTTGCTGCAGCTATGCCAGTTAGAGCAGCTGATAAACTGGCCCCTGCTCAGTATATCCGGTATGAATTGTGCCTGAAAGTCTTAATTTTATATCAGACTTGTATTATCTTGTATAATGACTTTTGAAGCCTACTAACTAACTTTGCAAACAGTTGAAAGCAAAATTAGTTTGTCATTGCCACTTAAGATGTTACCTGTGAGGGCTGGGAAGGCAGCTCAGTGCTAGAGTGCTTGCCTTGCATGCATGAGGCCCTGGGTTCAATTCCTCAGCACCACATAAGCAGAAAAAGCTGGAAGTGGCGTTGTGGCTCAAGTGGTAGAGCTCTAGCCTTGAGCTGAAGAGCTGAGGGACAGCACCCAGACCCAGAGTTCAGGCCCCATGACTGGCCAAAAAAAAAAAATGTTACCTGTGAGTGACATGAGAGTTTGTTTTGTTTTGTTTTTTAGAATTTAGTGATTATCTAGTATGTAAGATTCAAACCACAAGTACTCTATACTTTTATAATTACTTGTAATAGACACTTTATACTACTAAATTTTGAGAGACTTTGCTCATGTAATCTTTATGTGATTGACATATAAATAATATAGGATTTCTGCCATTATTCTTTTTCTGTTTTACAAATGCTAACTATCAGTTGCCTGCTAGAATTATTGTGGATGCTTTTTCCTCAAACACAGACTTATAACGTAGGAACTGTTTTCTATACTTCCTCTGTGAAATAGAACAATTGTGCCTTGTAGGTTGGAAAATGAATTAAGGATAGATTGTTTGCAAGCTAACCACTTGGTGAACATTTTGCTTGTAACTCATAATTCCTAGTTTTCTTATGTCCTGGTTCTGAAATATAATTCTCTAAGTACTTTGTAAATGGATTTAAAAACATTTTCTCGCCAGAGCCCGGCGGCTCACGCCTGTAATCCTAGCTACTCAGGAGGCTGAGATCTGAGAATCGCGGTTCAAAGCCAGCCCGGGCAGAAAAGACCGTGAGACTCCTATCTCCAATAAACCACTAGAAAACCGGAAGTGGCCCTGTAGCTCAAGAGGTAGAGCACTCGCCTTGAGCTGAAGAGCTGAGGGACAGCGCCCAGGCCCAGAGTTCAAGCCCCATGACCGACAAAAAAAAAAACAAACATTTTCTCGTAGTATTCTTATAATAGGAAAATGGCTACTGAAAACTTGAACTAGTTACACATGTAGTTTTCATCTGCTTTCTTCAGATATACACCGTCTCAACAAGGAGTGGCATTTAACTCTGGAGCTAAACAGAGGGTTATTCGGATGGTAGAAATGCAGAAAGATCCAATGGAGCCTCCAAGGTTCAAGTAAGTAGTTAACTTCATGAGAATGAACTACTGTTCTTAAGAAGAGTCTTCCACATCAACAGATGAATGAGCAGATGTTAGCACACCAGTAATGGAATGTTACTGAGCAATAAAAGAAATAAGCTGTTAACAAAAGAGCATAAATGAAGCTCAAAACAACTTATGATGTGCTATGCTGTCAAATAGCATATGATGCCATTTATTCTAAACTTGAAAATTGAAACTAATCCAGAAGATCATTGGTTGCTTATGGGGAAGGAAGTAGGAACAAAGAAGGAAGGGACATGCAGAAACTTTGGGATGATGCACATATTCACTATCTTGTTTGTGACGATCTTTTAACAGGGATATGTTTCTATCTAGGTTTATTCAAGCTGTGTACTTTATATAGTTGATTTTATCTCTTATCTCTAAGCCTTTTAAATGTTGCTCTTTGTGCAGGTAATGATGTGGTAAAGTGAATAATGGTGACTAGGTTGGCCATGTTTTATTAGTCATTGAAACCAAGTGGTAGCTGTATGATGGGCTTTTGCTATACCAAAAAGTGAAAAGGTACTTTGGTTTATTCTCTCAGGATCAATAAGAAAATTCCCCGGGGACCACCTTCTCCTCCTGCACCTGTCATGCATTCTCCAAGTCGAAAGGTATTCTTTGCTATAGCCCCCAATTTTATTTTCTTTTACTTACAGTTATTAATTTTATAAATAACTTCTGTGCCTACAGATACAAATCATCACACTGGTTACAGTTTTCTTTCTAAATTTGTTTTTCAAGATCAAATAGGTATCCAGTCAACAATACAAAGTAATATGTGTGAAATGTTACCTATGAGTGTAGCATTCTACCAATGATTTTAATGAATGAATGTTTTATTTTAATGAATCTACATAACGAACAAGATATGGTTCACATACAAGGTACAGTTGTATATAGTGAGTACGTGGGTTCATTGTAGGGTGCTGGTGGCTCACACTTGTAATCCTAGCTACTCAAGAGGCTGAGATCTGAAGATCACAGTTCAAAGCCAGCCTGGGCAGGAAAGTCCATGAGACTCTTATCTCCAGTTAATCACCAGAAAACTGGAAGTGGCACTGTGGTTCAAGTGTAGAGCACTTGCCTTGAGCTGTAGAGCTGAGGGTCAGCCAGGTGCAGACCTGGCTGACCAACAACAACAACAAAAACAACTTTTCATCTGAAAGAAATCACACTTAAAAAAATGGAAAAATACTACTGAGCATTTGTAAATGTCAAAAATAATTTCTGGGAGCTAGAAAGGTGGCTCAGTGGTAGAGTGCTTGCCTTGCATGCATGAGCCCTCTACGTTCAATTCCTCAGCCAGAAGTGTGCTGTGGCTGAAGTGGTAGAGTGCTAGCCTTGAGCTGAAGAGCTGAGGACAGTGCCCAGGCCCAGAGTTCAGGCCCACAACGAACAACAACAACAAATAATAATAATTTCTAAAGCCATGCACCATTGGCTCATGCCTGTTACACTAGCTACTGTGGAGGCTAAGATCTGAAGATTGTAGTCCAAAGCCAGCCTGGACAGGCAAGTCTGTTACCTTCAATTAACCAGCAAAAAGCTGAAAGTGGATCTGTGGCTCATGTAGTAGTATGCCAGGCTTGAGTGAAAAAAACAAGGAAGAGTTCAAGCCCTAGTGGTGACTAAAACAAATAAGCAATTTCTGGATATTTTCTCACTTTTTACATTAGTTCAAATTATTACTAGAATCTATAATACGATGACATAGTGCCACCAAACAAATGAAATTTTAGATTTTGACACACAATTATATATGTCAGTGTAAATGGAGCAGTCTTAAGGAAGATTGTACTTGGGTTGTTAGCTAGACTATAAACCTAATAATACCTTTCATTGTTTTCTTACCTCAGATGACTGTAAAGGAACAACAAGAGTGGAAGATTCCTCCTTGTATTTCCAACTGGAAAAATGCGAAGGTAATTAAATTGTCATAAAATATGTCCTTTTATATTATAGTCTTCTAGGAAACATTCAGACAGTCTCTAAATAAAGCCTGGGAAACTTTAGTTGTAACCTTAGCATCTCATTTAGCTTAATGTTTCCACAACATTAACCAAGGCTGACAGGGGAGCACAGTGGTAAAGCTCATGTTTAGAATGTATGAGACTTCAGGTTTGAGCCCTAGCAGTACCCACAAAAAAAAACAAAGACAAGCTGGACACCAGTAACTCACATCTGTAATACTAGGTACTTGGAAGGTTTGGCCCAGGCCAAAGAGTGTGAGACCCCATTCTCAACCTATATCCGATGTACAGTGGTTCACACCTATCATCCTGACAGGAAGCCTAAAATAGAGAGATTACAGTCCCGATTTATTCCTAGACAGGAAGCAAAACTGTTTCAAACAACCAGCACAGTAAAAGGGCTGGAGATGTGACTCAGCAGTACAGCTCCTGTCTGGTAAATGTGCATCCCTGTATATGTGTATCAACAAACTCCAGTACCCTGCTCCCTCCCCCATACACACACAAAAAGACGAAGAAAAATATAAATTACTTTTTTTAATGTAATAGAAATGGTAATGTACTGGGCACATACATATCATGCAAATTCCTTATGTACTATAACTTACCAGAAGCACACAGAAAAATAATAAACCAAATGTTCCATATTAGTTAGAGATAGTATTCTCCATAAAACTCAAGTTTTTATCCTAAAATTATTTCAACAATTAAATCAGTTTCAGTAAGCATTTGAGAAAATGATAGTAAATTTTAGATCTTTTCAATATTTTAATTTTCAACTATTCATCTCTATGACATTGTAGCCTAGAGTTACTCAAACCCTACATATTGCCTATGTGTGTGCCTAAAATCTAGCACTTGGGAAGCTGAGGCAGGAGGATGGCAAATTCAAGACCAACCTGCACTGTATAGCAAGTTCCAGGCCAAGCTGACTACATAGTGACATCCTGTCTCTAACTAACTAAATAAATATTTGTGTTTGCACCTACAACATACATGCACATCATATATGTATCTATTAATCACCAGACTTCCTAAGCGTTATTAGAAATCTATAAAATGGGATACCTTTCTTATTCACTATATTACCCAAAGCGTTTTTCTAATTTTTGGTTGGTAAAGAGGTCCCTTTACCCAAGATTAAATACGAATTGTTCCTTAAAGTTGTCCTGCTAGCAAAAGGATATTGGTTGGGGTGTGTGTCTGCACACACACAACTGTATGTGTGTATATAATTAACATATTTCAATATATACGTATATCACGTGTAATCACATAGTTATATATAGGTGTACATGTACATATATGTATATGTGTATGTATGTACCTATGTGATAGTGAGCTGACTCTAACACTGGGGTCTTTTGTTTGGGGGATTCTTTGTTGTTTTGTTTTAAACAGGCATGCACCACCACACAAGACCAACACATTGTTTTATTAGGAGGCCATGAACTTGGGATACTAGTCAGAATTCAGGAAAAATAAAGCTTAGTCTTAAAGTTACATAGATGTTCAAGCATATTCATTAAGTTACTGGAATTAAATGTGAATGTAGACTCTCAGTTGTTTAGCAAGTTTAGACCTGGCTTTTTCCACCTAGCAAAACTTTCAAGAATTGAACAAATCATTAAGACAGGATACCAGATTAAAACTAGATACTGAGATTATAGTGATTTGTGTATGACTGTCACTTTACTTGAGAAGCACCTCTTGGGCTATTAGACAGTGATATCCTTCTATCATAACCCAGTTACCAGCATGAGAATCAATCTTTCTAAAGATTGAGCTATAAAGTTGTTGTGGATTAAATGCTGTTCACTCATTTACTACCTGTATGCCTACACCCTACCTTGCTATTTTCATCTGTAAAATGGAAATAGTGTTGCAAGTTTTATAGGATTAATAAGATCATAGATGTGCTCAATCCTTGTTGAAGCACTTGTTAGTTGCTTCTATTTTGAATAATTATGAAAAAAGATAAAAATTTCAAGTGGACATGGCCACTGGTGACTACTACTATCTACTCAGGAAGCTGAGATCTTAGAGTTAAGGTTCAAAGCCAGCCTGGACAGGAAAGACCATAAGACTCTTATCTCCAATTAACCACCAGAAAACTGGAAGTGGAGCTGTGGCTCAAAGTGATAGGAGCACTAGCCTTGAGGAAAAAGGTCTCAGGGATAGCACCCAGGCCTTGAGTTCAAGCCCTAAACTAACCACCCCCCCAAAAAAAAAAATTCTAGTTCTTAAAATGAGCCATTTACATTAATTTAAAATAATTATTGTAGCTCAGCTGTACACTGTGCTAATATTTCCTCTTTGCTTTTACTCTAGGGTTATACAATTCCATTAGATAAGCGTCTGGCTGCTGATGGGAGAGGACTTCAGACAGTACACATAAATGAAAATTTTGCAAAACTGGCTGAAGCTCTCTATATTGCTGATCGGAAGGTTGGTTCTTGTGTTTTGTCAATGTTCTTGTGTTCTATCAGTGTTCTTATAATTTGTAATTCCAGTCCTGTTTACTTAAGGTACTATTAATTTAGCTGAGTACTGATTATCTAGGGAGACTGTAACTTCTTGTATATGTGCTAAAAACTGCAGATGCTAGTTTAAGCTGTATACATTGTCTTAGCCTTTGTATTTGTTACACATACCATCCCTGTACCATATAAGTATATGTCAGAATGTTTCCCTAGGCTGCTTCTCCTATTTTGTGAAGATAGCTAAATTCTGTTCTACATTTCATAAATATCTTGTATTTTAGGTATATGTGTCCCTAAAAGGGTATTTGCAAAGAAGGGTAGATAACCATTCTCATTAATTGAGTGCTTCATTAAAAAGCACTTGTGTTATCAGCTATTAATATTATATGTGGTAGCTATATGGTATTATTAGTATATGACCTTCAGGCTCATATGGCCTAGAATGGCATGCATTTAGGACATAAAGTACATCATCTGTATCATAATGCCTTCATAAAAATCCATCTCAAATGCATACTAAGGTTTTAAATTGTCATGTTTATTCAGACAGGTTTGCTTTGTAGCAAAACAGTTTTTTAAATTGGGCTTACTACAGTTTCAATCACTAAAACATTCCACAGAGTAAAAAGAATTTCTAGGCAGGATACCTTATTATCTTACTCAGCAATAACAAGTGGGAATTCTTTTTCATTGCTTTTGCAAGCTAGACTTTCGTTGGGTAGCTACATGATAGCTGCACATATTTCCCATATAGTGTTCTGATTAACACTTCATTTTACTAACAAACAGGCTCGGGAAGCTGTGGAAACACGTGCCCAAGTGGAAAGAAAGATGGCTCAAAAAGAAAAAGAGAAACATGAAGAGAAACTTAGAGAGATGGCCCAAAAAGCCAGGGAGAGGAGAGCTGGGATCAAAACCCATGTGGAAAAAGGTATAGCATTCTAATTGTGAAATTTATTCTGTGAAGAATATATATCTCATTTATGGATATATATGTATTCATTTCTGAATACTTACTCATTTGCTAGAAAATATTTATTGAGTACTTGCTATATTGCAGAGGTGTATATACTGCCAAAACAAATAACCCCAAAATTTCCTTAAAAAAATATAATTGTATAGTGGTGCTGTGGCTCAGGTGGTAGACCACTTGCCTTGAGCTGAAGAACTCAGGGACAACTCCCAGGACCAGAATTTAAGTCCCACAACCAACCAAAAAACTGTGTGGTATGTGTGTGCGTGTTTCATGTGACAGTATAGTGTAGGTCAAATCCCACAACCAAACAAAAAAGTGTGTATGTGTGTGTGTGTGTGTGTGTGTGATGTGACATGAAGAAGGCATTGTTCCACAACCAACCAAAAAACTGTGTGTTTGTGTGTGTGTGTGTGTGTGTGTGTGTGTGTGTGTGTGTGTGTGTGTGTGTGTGTGTAATGTGACATGACATGAAGAAGGGGCATGGTTCCTTGCAGAAATGCCGTGACGCACATTCCTTTATTGGGTGGTTTACCTGCCTTGGGTCTTGATTCAGCCAGTGCATTGCTTACTAGTTTTCTTTGCTGTCCTGTTTTGTGGCACCTCTAGTACTATTCATTATCTTTATCTTGTGGTCAATCCATTGCCTCTGACATCCTAGCTTTGGACCTGTGGCAGTACAGTGCATCATGGCAGTACATGTGATGAGAAAGACTGACTGCTCCTCTAATAGGGCTGGGAAGCAAAGAGAGATGTATCTGATTTTAGAAAATCTCCTTGTTTTTATGCTTAGTCATTATTGTTTTTGGCGTTTTTTTTTTTGTTGTTGTTGTTGTTGTTGTTTTTGTCAGTCGTGGGGCTTGAACTCTGGGTCTGGGCGTTGTCCCTCAGCTCTTCAGCTCAAGGCTAATGCTCTACCACTTGCACTACAACACCACTTTCAGTTTTCTGGTGGTTTTTCAGAGATAAGAGTCACACAGACTTTCCTGTGTATGCTGGCTTTGAACCGCAATCCTCAGATCTCAGCCACTGGAATAGCTAGGATTACAGGCATGAGCCACCAGTGCCTGGCTTATGCTTGTTTTTATTGCATAAAAGAGTAGTTCAGTACATATAAAGAAAACGTAGATATTTCAGAATTGTAAGAATGGGGCACAGTGTATAATCTTACCTTGTTTAAGCTGAAGCATTAATAGAAAGTTAATGTTTATTTTTTAAGGTTGGTCTTTAATTTGGGGCTATACTAGAAATTCCAAATGTTCTGAGTAGTATATAGTTGGCCCTCTGTTCTCATGAGTCAAAAGTAGATTGAAACTATTGAGGGGGAAATTGCCAAAATAGTACAGAAATTTTCCCCAAAATCTTCATTCTCTTAATCCATATAAAATACCTAATCATTACGTAGCTTTTATGTAGCATTATATTATATTGCATATATTAAGTATAAGTTAATACAAATACTCCATTTTATATGAGGGACTTTAACATCATAGATTGAGGTATCTGTAGGTGTAGGGGTTATCTGCAGGGAGAGTGAGGGAACTAGAACCAATCCCTCATAGGTATGGAGATACCACTATACTTTTAAAATCACTTTAATTATTACTCATTATTATTTATTATTACTAATAGCCTTGATTTTTTTTTTCTATTTTAGGTTACTTAAAATTTAGAAAGAGAAATGAGATCTCCACTGAGTCAGTTTTCTACCTTTTTCCTAAAATAAGGGTTTTGTATTTTGTAGGCTAATGTATTTTCTAATTAAATCTACCGTTATGCTTTAGTCTGGCTTTATTTAGTGGTCTGTATTGTATATTCAAGAAATTTGTGGAGAATGCTGTTTATTATCATATACTACCTAATACAGTTACTCATTCTTTTTCAGTTCATACTGTGTGGTTAGTATGTACAAGTGGTTTTTCTTTCTTGCTATTGTTTTTAACATAAGGTGATTTTTTTTTTTGTTGCTTTGTATGTCCCTCCCCCACAGTATAACCCCCCTTCACTGTATTTGATGTTGGTATAATTTGGGGAAGGGAAAAAAACCAAATTGTTTAAAAGGGATACAGGTGAACCCATTGCAACAATGAGATGTACAAGATGCTATGTTGAAAAACGAACTTTACAACTTTGGCGGGTGGAGCGGGGCGGGGGGGGGCGGTGAGGGATGTAGGGAGATAGGAGGGCAAGGATGGTAGAGGGAAAACAAAGGAGGCGACAATGCTTGATAAGAAATGTACTCATTACCTTGCTCATGTAATTGTAACCCCTCTGTATGGTATTTTCACAATAAAAAACATTATAAAAAAAAGAATACATCAAAAAGAAAAGTACATAGAATTTTCTATTTGATGTTAAAAAAATATTGGCATGTAAAGAATATTAATGGATAGTACAGTGATGAAGTAATTTTTCCCTTTGTCCACACAGAGGATGGGGAGGCACGTGAGAGGGATGAGATCCGGCATGATAGGCGAAAAGAGAGACAGCATGACCGGAATCTCTCCAGGGCAGCTCCTGATAAGAGGTAGGTGCTAGTTGATGTAAATAAAAATTATAAAGAGCAGCCTTTTGCTATCTTCTTCTTTTTTTTTGGGGGGGGGGGGGGGTTCCGGTTGTGAGGCCTGAACTCTGGGCCTGGTTGCTGTCCCTCAGCAATTCAGCTCAAGGCTAGCGCTCTACCACTTGAGCCACAGCACCACTTCCAGCTTTTTTCTTTTTGCTTATGTGGTACTGAAAATCAAACCAGGGAGGGCCTCAGGCATGCAAGGCAAGCGCTCTACCACTGAGCCACCTTCCCAGCCCCTTTTGCTATCTTCTAGAGTAGTGTTTGTCCACTAATAACAGTTTTGCTTTTTTTCCCTTTTCCTCTTTAGCTTGGTAACTTAATAAAATTATCTGTTTTGTTATTTTTAAGTATTTTGTTTTAGGAGAAATTATTTCCTACAAATAAACTTTTCTTCCATAACTCTATGTATAGTAAGTTAGAATTGAGAATGTGGGTGATATGAATAAGGGAACCAAAAACATCTTTGTGAGAAGGAAGCAGTGAATGAAACTGTTCCAGTGGTCAAATGATCACGTTTCATGTGCCTTCATACAGGAAATATGCTGTCAAACATTTATTCACATCCCTTTATATGCAGAAGTAGTAGGCCTAATTAAATGGGTGAAGACTAGGTTTTCTAAGAAATAAAATTCAGCCATCTCATAAGAAGTTGAACTTAAAATTCAGAGGGACAATGTCATGTAAAATAACTAGTGAAAATGTCTAAGCATCCTTAAGACATACATAGTGATATGAAACAAACTAGATGCATGTATTGGGGACAAAATAGGAATTGGGGAAGATTGTGATTCACTGAAGTCTGAGCACTGCGGTGCCTCAAAAGTTGGGGAAATACTGTAGTATGAAGGTAAGATTCTGAGTGAAAATTAAATGCAAATATGCATCATTTTCTTTCCAAATACATAGTTTTTCATGCTCTGATCATCCTAGGAGCTGATATGTTTTCTTAACTTACCTTAAATCATACCTGCTGATTTAATTGGTACATTTTATATCCCTGGATAAGTATAGTCAGGGGAAGCAGAGAAGCAATACAGAGTTGTAAGCAAATCTACAATATACAAGAAGAATGAAGTGTGAAAAGTGTTCGATTAATGGACATTTTTATAAAATTCAAATATGACCTTGTAAATAAATTGGGCACTTAAAACCAGTGAAGTTAATCAGGCATATTAACACATACCTGTAATTCTAGCAACTTGGAAAGTTAAGAGGATCAAGAGTTCAAGACCAGCTTGAGAAATGATAACATAGAAAAGCTATAAATAAGTGATTTGGATAAAAATTAAATTGTCTGTGGAAATTACTTTAAGATCGGAATTTCCAGTAAAATAGCTGATGGCAATCACTAGGTTTCATTAGGATATAGATTTCATTTATACTAAACCATCAGAGGAATTAATTCGAATGTCTAATACAAACTAAATGTAGTTAGGTAAAAGAGCTGATTGTGGTTTATAGAGAATGCCTCAAATGATGCATCAATTTTTATCCACTTCCACAACCCTCTGAACCCTCCTGGATAACGGCATGGTTATAAGGTAATTGCTTGTATTAAATTATTTCATGTCAAGAACCAGTTTCAGGTATTGTTTTGCACTACCAGGAAGTCCTAATTGTAGAATTACCTTCTGTAACTGTGCATAATAATGTATTAATTTTCTTTGCTTCTGGGATTAGTTATATTTTAATTTAATATATTCACCTTGTCTGCAAAGAGTTTCAATTAATGATCTTGTATTTCAAATAGATCAAAACTGCAGAGAAATGAAAATCGAGATATCAGTGAAGTGATTGCTCTTGGTGTACCCAATCCTCGAACCTCAAATGAAGTTCAGTATGACCAAAGGCTCTTCAACCAGTCCAAGGTATGAGTTGAGAAACAGCCTATCTGTGTTTACAGGAATACCTGACCTTCTTGGTGGTTAACTGGCGATAAGAGCCTCACAGACTTTTCGGCCTGGGCTGGCTTTGAAACATGATCCTCAGATCTTAGCCTTCTGAATAGCTAGGATTACAGTCATGAACTACCACTGCCTACAATTTTTTGGTTTGGGCTTTTGGCAGTATCAATTTGTACTCAGGGTTTTGCACTTGCTCAGCTGGCACTTTGCCATTTAAGCCACACCTCCAGCCTTGCCTTTTTTGCTGGTTATTTGGAAAAGGGAGTCCTGAAGATTTTTCTGCTGGGTTGACCTTAAGCCATCAGATCCAAGCCTCCTGAGTAGCTATGCTTACAGACAAGAGCTACTATATACCCAGCTTCAGAGGTTAGACAAGTAATCAATAGAATTAAGATACAATCTTTTAAATCTTGATTCCAAAACTTTTTTTTCTTAGTAACTCACTAGCTTGAGCCAAAGGACTTAAGGATGAAGACTCCACATATTTTGAAGACTGGCTTCTGTTACACTGATAAACATCAAGTATTTTAAAATTCTGATAAAAATCTGTTTCTTGTTGACTTAAGATTTTCATTGAGAGCCAAAGTATCTTCTGATGCCCTCAGGAACTTAAGGGATATAGCATTTGAACTCTAAATGACAAGAGAAATGTTTTGCCACTCCAAACAAACTGGAAGCTTCTCATAATAAAAAATAGCACTGGGATCCATCAGTTGTCAACATAGATAAACTTGTACTTTGTTTAAGCCTCTGGGTAAGGACCTAAACAAGACATGAACAAGCTTTTTTTTTCTTCTTCTTCTTTTTTAATCTTAGCTGGCCACCAGTGGCTCCGGCCTATAATCCTAGCTAATCAAGAGGCTGAGATCTGAGGATCTTGGTTCCAAGCCAGCCCAGGCAAGTAAGCCTGTGAGACCCTTATCTCTAATTAATATCAAAAAAAGCCTTAAGTGCTGAGTGGTTCAAGTAGTTAGAGCATTAGCCTTGAGCAAAAAGGAGCTCAGCAACAGTGCCCAGGCCCAGAGTTTGAGCCCCAGGATGGGGAAATAAAACACACACACACACTCTTACTTGTGGGGTTTTTTAATGAAGATCTTTTTTAAAATTTTTGGGTTTTTGGGTTTTTTTTTTTAATGAGAGCTATAACAAGTGTTTATTCTTCATGAGTAATCAGGTTTATCTTTTGATAATAATGTAAACATTTATTTTATATCCATATTTCCACAGGGTATGGACAGTGGATTTGCAGGTGGAGAGGATGAAATTTACAATGTTTATGATCAAGCCTGGAGAGGTGGTAAAGACATGGCCCAGAGTATCTATAGGCCTAGTAAAAATCTGGACAAGGACATGTATGGTGATGACCTAGAAGCCAGAATAAAAACCAACAGGTACCACAGCACACAACCCTGTCTCAGTATTCATATCAGTGAAACAAAAGTATATATTTCATAATCCTTTCTCTTTTTCCTAGGTTTGTTCCGGACAAAGAGTTTTCTGGTTCAGACCGCAGGCAGAGAGGACGGGAAGGACCAGTTCAGTTTGAGGAAGATCCTTTTGGTTTGGACAAGTTTTTGGAAGAAGCTAAACAGCACGGTGGCTCTAAAAGACCCTCAGATAGCAGCCGACCCAAGGAACATGAGCATGAAGGCAAGAAGAGGAGGAAGGAATAAGATACTCCTCTTTTCCCACTCAATGAACTTTGTCCATAACCCCAATGATAGGAGTCTTGGGGGCCAATACAGTTTGTAAACGATCAGGATAAAAACCAAATCTGGGTGCCAGATCCCAGTGCTACTTTTTATTAAGAGAGATGGGGGATTGAAAATGCTACTTTGAATTACTTCCTTTTTTTAAAAGAGTGGGCTGTGTTTGTGCTTTTCCCACCTTTTGGCACTTAGGGAATATACTTGGCCCCACCCCACATACACAGTCAAGACCACTTCCTTTTATGTAATGTCAGTAGTCTGGGGGTACTATTTTGTCTAAGAATGACTGTTTATCAGTGAAGTTGCCTCAATCACAATGAGGGTGTTCACATTTTGGAAATGTGCTAGCAAGTGAATTTTCCCCCTACTGTGCTGTTTTACTTTGGAGTGGGGAAAATAAGGTCTTGTTTAGTGCAACTATTTGTTTCCAATAAACACATTTAGAAAAAATTGTTATTTGCTTTATTTAATGAGTAATAATTATTCAGAAATATTTTTCTTCATCTGATGTTTGATCCCCTTGTAAATTTTTTCGTCTTTGTGCTTGAACATGGAGCTGGGGAGAAAATATCAAATAAGCACTTTAAGACAAGGCAATATTGGTTTTTAAAAAAAAAAAGCCACACACACATTACAACTGGATATTATCACTTGATATAAGAAGGCACACACCCTCTCCCCCTGTTTTTGTGCTGGTGTTGGGGCTTAAACTCGGCCTGGACACTATTACCCCTGAGCTTTTTTTTCTCAAGGCTAACTCTCTTATTTGAGCCACAGTTCCACTTCTGGGGTTTTGGTTGTTAAATGGAGATAAGAGGCTCATGGGCTTTACTACCCCCGATGGCTTCAAACTCTGATCACTCAGCCTTCTGAGTAGATAGATAGGATTATAGGTATGAGCCACTAGTGCCTAGAAAGAGTGCCCTTTTATTAGGGACTTGGTACTAGTAACTGAAGTGCTTAGAATTTGTCTCTTGTGGGCTGGGAAGTTGGCTCAGTGGTAGAGTGCTTGCCTTGCATGCCTGAGGCCCTGGGTTCGATTCCTCAGCACCATATAAGCAAAAAGAAAAAAGCCAGAAGTGGCGCTGTGGCTCAAGTGGTAGAGCGCTAGCCTTGAGCTGAAGAGCTGAGGGACAGCGCCCAGGCCCAGAGTTCAGGCCCCACGACCGGACCCAAAAAAAAAAAAAAAATTTGTCTCTTGTTCTGAACTTTAGTTAAAAATTTATAAACCCGTGGCTGGGAAGGTGACTCAGTGGTAGAGTGCTTGCCTTGCATGCATGAGCCCCTGGATTTGATTCCTCAACACCACATAAGTAGAAAAAGGTGGAAGTGGTTCTATGGCCTAAGTGTAGAGCCCTAGCCTTGAGCTGAGGAAAGTGCCTAGACCCAGAGTTGAGGCCCCACGACCAGAGAGAGAAGAAAAAAAACCCGTATAGCCAAGATCACATGGTAAATGGAAAAACCAAGATTTCAACCTAAATTGGTCTGGACTACTGTTTGCACAGTTCTGTAGTACATACGCCTTGCTAACCATGTATGGGTCTTCCAGCTGTTGGGTGTATCTTAGCATACATGAGGTTAGAGGCTTATAGCCCAGCAACAAAAACGGTCTTTTGTACGTCTCAGACCTTCTATAACCACCACCACTTTAACAAACATTAAAGAAAGCAAGACAGACTTACCTTTACTCCATCAATAATATGATTTTCCTGTTGTATTGCATTCTGAAGTTCTTCTGCTGAAGAAAACTGAATCCAACCCAGACCTTTGTGAAAGCCAGTCTCTCTGTCCTAACAGTTCAAAATAAAAAAGGTTAATCATGAATTTGAAATTTTCATGAGCTCCAACTCAAACTACCAACATTTTCATTTGCCAAAATTATACTAAAGATATTAATAATCATCATCCTGTTAATACATATTTGTCCCAGTTATTCAAGGCTAACTCCTAGTGTTAGTCCTGTTTTTCCACTGCCAATGATGAATAATGAATTTCCTCTCATTCTAGATGCAGTCATAGTTAGTGGAAATGGTTGCTAAAGCATTCTGCTTACTTCTTTCTTACCTCCTAATTCCTAGGAACTAGAAAAGCTGAGCCTCTAAAGAGAAGCAAGCTGACATGGGGCATGGGAGATCACAGAGGAGACAGGTCACAAAGAACTGCAGATCATCCTGAGGAGCTAAAAGAAGCCCCTAGTAGAAAAGTTAAAGCTAAAATATAAAAAGGCAGGGACCTCAGTTCTACAGTTGAAAGAAATTCTGTCTTTCCCTATTTGAGCTTTTTTTTTTTTAATTTTTATTGTGAAAATACCGTACAGAGGGGTTACAATTACATGGGCAAGATAATGAGTACATTTCTTATCAAGCATTGCAGCCTCCTCCTTTGTTTCTCCTTCCCATCCTCCCCCCCACCCCCCCATATATGAGCTTCTTGTAAAGCAAACTGCTACATGGACAAAAGCTAGACTACTGTTATGTGAGATCAAGCAGAGGACCCAGCTAATCTGTGCCCCCCTATTAAATAATATGTATGTTTAGCCATTAAGCAAATCTTCATTCCAATGAAATCTTCATTAACATATTTTTATGTTTTCATTTAAAAAATTAAGAATTCAAGGATAACAATACTTTTTAATCTTTATTTGCAGCACTGGGGATTGAACCCAGTGCCCTGTACATGCTAGACAAGTACTCTATCACCGAGCTTCCAGCTCCCAATAGAATTTTTAAAAATAATACTCACAAAAGGTATAATGCACTTCCGTATATGACCAAACTGTGCAAAGTGTTCTCGTAACTCATCTGTTAAAAGGGGAAAAGATAAATCAAGAAGTATATTTGTGTTCTCTAAACCAGATTATAGATAAAACCCAAAGAGGTCCTACAGGCCCCAGATTTCTTTTTTTTTTCTCCAGTCCTAGAGCTTGAACTCTGAGCCTGGGTACTGTTTTTGTGCTCTGAGTTTTTGTGCTCAAGGCTAGTGCTCTACCACTTGAGGTATAGCTCTACTTCCAATTTTTTGGTGTTTAATTGGACATAATAGTCTCACAGACTTACTTGCCCAAGCTGGCTTTCAACAGCGAGCCTCAGATCTCAGCCTCCTGATTAGCTAGGATTACAGGCGTGAGCCAACAACACCCAGATATCCCCAGATTTCTTGAAGACAGGAACTATTTTGCATTCCCTTGGCCTTAAAACTAAGCAAACAGCTACCAGACTGATTATACTGCTGTAAAGTAGCAGACTTGGTTATTGCCTGGAAATATGGATGAATAAATTACTAAACTAGCTGTAGTCTTCATACTAAGCAAATATTGAGTGTTTTCATCATAGTGCATGCTAGGCTGGGTATGTCAATTATAATTCCTGAGAGCAGATCATACCAAAGAAAAATGATTATAATCCAGGGTATTTTAGCATAACATCTCTAAATAAAATCCTAACAGTGTTTGGTCTTTCATAACTTAAAAGTTTATAGCAGGAGCCGGGCGCTGGTGGCTCACGCCTGTAATCCTAGCTACTCAGGAGGCTGAGATCTGAGGATCGCGGTTCAAAGCCAGCCCGGGCAGGAAAGACCGTGAGACTCCTATCTCCAATAAACCACCAGAAAACCGGAAGTGGCGCTGTAGCTCAAGTGGTAGAGCGCTCGCCTTGAGCTGAAGAGCTGAGGGACAGCGCCCAGGCCCAGAGTTCAAGCCCCACGACCGACAAAAAAAAAAAAGTTTATAGCAGGTTAAAACTACTTTTCCAGCCATTTCCCATGGCTGGCCCCTAGTTACTCTCCAGAACAGCAAAATGAATCCTCTCGGTCCTATCCTGTAGATTCCCTTTTTTTCTTCTTCCTCTTGTGTAGGTATATGACAGTACTGGGGTCTGAACTCAGGGCCTCTCCTGCTTAGCTTTTCTGCTTAAGGATGGTATTCTACCTCTTGAGTCACATCTTCCAGCTTTTTGCTTGTTAACTGGAAGAGTTGGATATGATCCTCAGATCTCAAACATCCAGAGTAGCTAGGATTACAGATGTGAGACACAGTTACCCAGCTTTCTCTTCCCTGGATATACCTATCCAGAGTCATGCCAGAGACATTTCACTGAATATAGTTTTATTGGGCTCTTGTAATATAAAACATTGTACTAGCTTTGTGAGGCCTCAAAGACTTAAACATAAAAAAACAACAACACATCTGTTTCGCTTCTAAACTACAGTAGTTATATTTTGCTGGTTTAATTTTGTATTACCTGCTTATATCTCCTATTTCATCTAAACTTAATTAGTTCAGCTGCTTATATTTGGTGTTTGTAAGCTTCAGTCCCACTACTACTCTATAAGCTATATAGATACGACAGTATTTACATGAAATACACAGTAGGGATCCAAAACTGAATAAATATTCAATAAATAAATGTAAAGGAATCCTTCAATTCAGAGGGTAAATTTCTAGAGCGTTTTATTGGATGGTCAAACCAAGTGGCTCATTGGAGATGAGAGTCTCACGGACTTTCCTGCCCGCGCTGGCTTTGAATCGCGATCCTCGGATCCCAGCCTCCTGGGTATCTGGGATGCCAGAATATGATAATAGAGAATAAGTTCTAGAGAACGCTTTCCAAAATGTGACGGTTTGAATTTTGAAATCTTCCTCAAACACTCATGCCAGCAGCAGGTGGTACCTGCCATTAGGAGGCGGCAGAACCTTTAGGAGGTAGAGCCTAGAAGACCGAAACGAAGCCATTGAGGAGCATGCCCTCAAAGACGATACAGACACACACAAACCAGTCCAGTCTCTCCCCAACTCCTGCCTCCCACCCTCCCTGCCTTTCTTTCCCTCTCCCCCGTCCCTCTCTCTCTAATAAAGACTCATAACTGCGCCTCGTAAGTGCTGGCTTCTCTGTTTCTTGCGACTGAGTTTCCTTACAACACGCCCAGGGGCTTAAGTTTTCGGAATCGTGGAAATATCATAATTATTCTCTAGTACAAATCAGGAAGTTTTGTGGGCAAGTGCATTTACTCCTGTCCCCAACTGTATGAGGCACGTATTCATGATTGCATTTTTTAAACTGAAGCAGGGGGGCGAACTGCTTTCAGTTCTTCGAATGGCTGCGCTGCAATTCTCACCCAGGCAGACTGGCTTCAGAGTCGGCTTCCCAGCCCCAAGGTGCAGCTACCTGGGGGAGACTTCACCCGGTTTTCGACCTCAACACGCTTGGGGTACCTCGCGTCCCAAACGGTGCCTCGCTGTCAAATGACCCGCACACGGCCCACTCCGACACGGCAGGAGGCGGCCCGGGACTCCGCGGCCGGAACGCCCGGGGACACCGGTTACCGCAAACCAGCGTCCTCCGCTGCCCTGGGCGGCCCGGGCGCCACCGGCTGCTCTGCGGGCCGCCCGGGCCTAGGCCGCGCCCCTCCCGGTCCCCGGCACTCACTAGCCGCCGCCGTCCAGGGGATTTTCCTGACAAACGCAACCGGCCGCCCCAGGGTAGCGCGCAGCGCCGCGGCACCCCGCACGGCCGAGGCCGACATCTTGAGAGGCGCTCCCGTGTGACCTCAGGTCGCGACCCCGGAAGAACTCTTCGGAGATCTGCTTCCGGGCCAGGTGGTCCAGGCTCCGACATGGGGAAGATGGCGGCCGTCGTGGGTCCTGTGGCGGCGCTGGCGACAGAACCCGGAGAGGACGCCTTTCGGAAACTTTTCCGCTTCTACAGGCAGAGCCGGCCCGGGACTGGAGACCTGGGTGGAGTCATCGACTTCTCGGCGGCCCGCGGCACGGGTCCCGGTGCCTCCAAGGTGCGGACTGCGAGGGCGCGACCGTGCGGCGCGGCGCGTCGTCCCGCCCCGGAAGGGGCCTCCGGACGCTCCCGCCGGGCGCCCCCCTTCCCAGGGCGCGGGACGGCTGCCCACACGCAGCCTGAACACCCTGGGAAGTGCTGTGTGCGCTTCCTCGGGTACACGGCTCTATGTTGACGTTTCTTTTTCTTTTTTGTCGGTCGTGGGGCCTGAACTCTGGGCCTGGGCGCTGTCCCTCAGCTCTTCAGCTCAAGGCGAGCGCTCTACCACTTGAGCCACAGCGCCACTTCCGGTTTTCTGGTGGTTTATTGGAGATAGGAGTCTCAGGGTCTCTCCTGCCCAGGCTGGCTTTGAACCGCGATCCTCGGATCCCAGCCTCCTGGGTATCTGGGATGCCAGGTGTGATGAGCCACCAGCGCCCGTCCTACAGCTCTATTTTGAATAAAATCATTAAGTACGTAATCGTAGGCATTAGGATAGCGCTCTGCACTCTCCAAAAAAACCCCAAAAACTCGATAATCCCCAAACTTGACCGAGATCTGACATTGTTAAGCCGTTGTGCATTTAAATTACTCCCTGTCCTCTCTGGGACTTACACAGAGAAGCCATGGAAGAATTTTGAGACAACCCCCGCCCCCCCCCCCACACACACACTTTGAGAAAAAATATGTATATATAATATGCATAAATACACACACACATATATCCTCTTTGAAAATGGGGTATCTGAAAAAGACGGAGAAAGGAATACATAGGAAGCACAACTGTAAAGTGCTTCTATTTTTCTTTACGCTTACTTAACAAATGAGGATATATAATCCCTTAGTTGGCCTTTGGTGTTGTCTTGATGTCCAAGATGAGGGCAGACATAATTTAGAGCTCTCAGTAAAATTGCAGTAATCATATTGGTCTAGAACTCCTGTTAGCCAAAATGGCCTTCCAAGTTGTTAGGACAATGCAGTAAAAAGTGCACACTAAGAGTAATACTTGACTCACAAAAACTCGACTAATTCAACTCCATTTCCCCACATTTTATCATAATGCATTCATAGTTTTTAAAATATGAGCCTCTTGAGAATGGCAGAGTACCCAAAGCAGTCAGCACTAAACACAAGTATGTGTTGAATATGTGAAAACTTGAGGTCCTCATCTCAAAGTAGACTAAAAGCAAATTAGAGAAGAAGTTGCTATCACAATTCATCTGATGAGAGCAGTGGGAAAAATGATACTCAACAATCTGGCAAGTAAGTAGCATTGTCAGTTGGAATCATCCAATACAACCCAACTTTCAGTGAGTCCTTTTAAGTCATCAGGATATGATCTCATAGGAAAAGGCAATCTAGCAAATCAGAACAAGTCAGCTTTTAATTTTTCTATTTCTATTTAGGTTAGTTTTGTCTGTGTAGCATGAGTTTGCATACAGGTGAAGAAACTGAGGCTCTAGGAAATTAGGTGACTCATCTAAAAAGCCCTACATCAAGTGGTAGAGCTAAGGTTAAGATCCTAGGCATAGGGGCTGGGAAGGTGGCTCAGTGGTAGAGTGCTTGCCTTGCATGCCTGAGGCCCTGGGTTCGATTTCTCAGCACCACATAAGCAAAAAGAAAAAAGCCGGAAGTGGTGCTGTGGCTCAAGTGGTAGAACGCTAGTCTTGAGCTGAAGAGCTGGGGGACAGCGCCCAGGCCCAGAGTTCAGGCCCTACGAACCAAAAAAAAAAAAAAGATCCTAGGCATAAAAGTCTTAGTTTGGACTGGGAAGGTGGCTTAGTGGTAGAGTGCTTGCCTTGTGTGCATGAGGCCCTGGGTTTGATTCCTCAGCACCACATAAGCAGAAAAAGCTGGAAGTGGTGCTGTGGCTCAAGTGGTAGAGTGCTAGCCTTGAGCTGAAGACCTGAGGGACAGCGCCCAGGCCCAGAGTTCAGGCCCCACAACCAGACCTAAAGAAAATCTTAGTTTTATCCCATAGCAGAAATTTCTTCAGAGATCTAGAGTTCCCAGGTTGACCTACAAAATAGCCTTAGCCTTTCTCTGTTTCTTTCCTGCCAGGTGGTTAGGTCTCAGCTAAGTGTGTCCTCAGTCAGTGAGCACGATGCTCACAGAGCAGGACTTCAGCCAGTCAACAAATGGCGGGCTTATGGACTTGAAGGTTATCCTGGTGAGTACCCCTGGCCTCATAGAAAGTGAAATTACTCAATCATTTCTCTATAATTTCACAGAAGGAACTGTGAGCAAAAAAAAATTAAGTGTATATATATATATATTAGACAAATGAGGAAAACTAAGCACAAATGTTTCTTTGGGGTTTTTTTTGGTCAGTCATGGGGCCTGAACTCTGGACCTGGGTGCTGTCCCTCAGCTCTTCAGCTCAAGGCTAGCATTCTACCACTTGAGCGTCAGCCCCACTTCCGGCTTTTTCTGCTTTTGTGGTGCTGAGGAATCAAACCCAGGGCCTCATACATGCAAGGCAAGCACTCTACCACTGAGCCACCTTCCCAGCCCCTAAACACAAATGTTTCACTCCCTAGCATACCTTAAATTGTTTCCATTGTTTTAATTGAAGAGCAAAAGTCAGCAGTGCCTGTCTTATGTGGCAGAAAGTGGCAGAACAAATAAAAAAACAGACATTGATTCTGGACTTCCTGGTACAGAGTACATCTGTGCATCTACTCTGCCAGAAAAATTGCTCTAAATAATAGCATAATTCATAATTACCATTCCAGACAATTGTTAACTAGCATAACAGCTTAAAACTTGTTGCTATCAAGGCTTAACTTTTGAAAGGATAATTATAGTTAATGAGGTCAAAAGTTCTAATCGATTCAATAGTTCAGAGTTTTTAATGATGTTCAAGTAGCTTGCTTTACAAATGGAGAAATAAGATAATAAGTGTTAATAAAAATGGATATTAGCTTAACTTTTTTCAAGGGTGTTAGAGAGATTGTTATGACTTAGAAGATACAGAAATGTCTTATTTAACTGGATCATCATGTATATACATTCTTTTTTTATTTGTTTTTTATTGTTTTGTTGTTGTTGTGATGGTAATGATGTTGATGTTGATGAGATGGCACTATGTCACTATGTTGCTCAGGCCGGTCCAGAACTTGAGTGTTCAAGTAATCATTTCACATCAGCCTTCTAAGTGGCTTGGACTACAGGAAGGTGTCACCATATTTAGCTGGGTTTTTTTTCTAAAAGACAAAAGCTTACATTTGGTTGTGATTCCAAATATGAGTTAAAAGTGAGAGAAATCTTTAAAAAGGAACCAAGACTAAGAGTGTGCTAACTAACACCTGTTAGTGTGACTACTAAAATATTTGCTAATGTGGGAGAGTATAACAGCTTATAAACTGCAATAAAAGACTTTGGTTTTATGTGAAGTTATGAAGGAAATAGTTGAATGATAGCTTTTACATATGAAAACATCACTGTGAGTTTGGGCAAATAAATGTAGAATGTACATCAACAGCAGTGGGTTTTTTTTGGTTTTGGTTTCAGTTTTTTTTGGTCCGGTCATGGGGCCTGAACTCTGGGCCTGGGCGCTGTCCCTCAGCTCTTCAGCTCAAGGCTAGCGCTCTACCACTTGAGCCACAGTGCCACTTCCAGCTTTTTTCTTTTTTGCTTATGTGGTGCTGAGGAATCGAACCCACGGCCTCATGCATGCAAGGCAAGCGCTCTACTACTGAGCCACCTTCCCAGCCCAACAGCAGTGTTTTTTATTCGCTTATTGGAGGCTCAGTCCTAGCAACTGTTTTCAAGACAGTGATTTTCTCTTGTTCTAAGTCTCCTTAACAAATGTATCAAACTACATAGTTATAACTCCACTTTGGTTTTGTATTGTCCAACCTGGTGTACCAGCTTTATGAAAATTTCTAGAATTCTGTTTTTAAATCACATCAGGTTGGTGCCTCTTTATGTTCTTATAGCATTTCTTCTGTCTTTCCTGCTATTTGTAAGCTGCATTTAATAGAAATGTAATGTTTGACACATGGAAGATAACAATATTTCTTATTCTAAGTTGATCAGAAGAATTGCATTTACCTCTGGATCCTGCTTATTCTGAAGGAATCTGAGTGTACCAAAGCTGTCTTTCTAAGAGTGAGCAAAAAGATGATGGATATTGAAATCAGAAACTTCTTGAACAAGGGGGTCAACAAGACAGCATCAAACATTTGAAAAGTGGTCAAACACAGCCGGGCACTGGTGGCTCACGCCTGAAATCCTAGCTACTCAGGAGGCTGAGATCTAAAGATCATTGGTTCAAAGCCAGCCCCAGGGAGGGAAAGTCTGTGAAGATTCTTATCTCCAATAAACCACCAGAAAACCAGAAGTGGCGCTGTGGCTCAAATGGTAGAGCACTAGCCTTGAGCTGAAGAGCTGAGGGACAGTGCCCAGGCCCAGAGTTCAAGCCCCACAACTGACCAAAAAAAAAAAAAGTGGTCAAACACAAGTACAGTGGGAAGCAGTGAAGTATAGTGATTACCCAAATAGGTATAGGCTCTAGTTCCGGGCTATCCAGACTTATGTCCTAGCTCTTCTATCTTAGTAACTGATCTGGGACAAAGTTCTTAGATTCTCTTGTCCTTAGTTTCTTCATATGTAAAATGTGTTTAAAAATAGTGCCCACCATAAAATGATTATGAAACTTACATTAGAATATACATGTAGAGTGCTTAGCTTAGTGCCTGGCACATAGTAATTTTTGGTAAAAGTAGATTATCAGACTGTAGACACTTACCAAGAAGAATTAAAAACTGATTCCAGGCTGTTAGAGATGTCATAACCGAAGCCCAATGCATGTAATTTATAGATTTAAATCAATAAAAAAGGGAAATAGCTGGGCATCAGTGACTCAGCCTGTAATCCTCGCTGCTCAGAGGATTATGGTTCAAAGCCAGCCTGGCAAGAAAGTTCATGAGACTTACCTCCAATTAACTACTAGAAAACTGGAAGTGGTGCTGTGGTTCAAGTTGTAGAGCGCTAGCCTGGAGCTGAAGAGCTGAGGGACGGTGCCCAGGCTCAGAGTTCAGGGCCCATGATGAGAAGAAAAAAAAAAATACCCTAAGTGCAAGCTCCAGGACCAGCACCAAGCAAAAAGAAAAAAGTGAAATGAAAATCAGATTAGTGGTTAAGCCACATGACTGTCAAAATAAATTTATGTTACTGATCCTTTAAATATGTTTATTACTTGGACATTTACAGTAACTTTCTCTCTCTTTGCATTAGTGTACATTCAGCCTAAGTAATGAAATTCACCAATCACTTTTGTGTGTGGATAAAAATATTTTCTATATAAAATTTCCTTGGTAGCCAGAAATGGCACTGTGGCTCTAGTGGTAGAGTACTAGCCTTGAGCTGAAGAGCTGAGGGACAGCTCCCAGGCCCAGAGTTTAGGCCCCATGACTGACCAAAAAAAAAGATTTTCTTGGTATGAACAAGTAACTTACCTTAGTCATTAAGCTGAGTTTAGAATATAGACTGTTGATAATATTAAATGGCAAAACAGATAAATCAGATGTAATTACCAGTCTATCCTTAACACTAATCTCTAAGCTGTTTAGCTTTGTTTCTAAATCTATAAGAATCTAGACAGAACTTGTAAATATTTTTGGTAAGTTTTAGTGTAGTGGAGGAATCCTCAGGTTATGTTCTATATATTTCTAATATATCAGCACAAGTTCATTGCTGCCAAGTAGCTTAATCTCTGTAATTCTGATAGTGGACCACGGATATTATTATTCAAAATGTCAGTTAAGTAGAGCCCAATATTTATGAGGCAAAGATCTCAGGTTTGCTGCAGGTGAGGGCCTAACAGTTTTGTTTGTTCCATGGTCACAAATTCCAACTTTGTTGTTTCCCAAATGGATGCTATTAGCCCCAAGAGGCCAATAGTGAAGTCATGGTACCTCTCTGAACTTCTGTTCTCTCTTCTCCAAAACTGTTTAATAACTTCTTCATGTAGTTATGCAAAATTAACGAGGCTGGCATTTAATAGGCATCTAGTTATTTTTAGTAGTAGTTTTAATTAATGACTTAAGACTGAACTTATTTATTATTAATAGCTGTTATTAAACTTTATTGTTATTCTATATTTAAGCTGAATTCAAAATGAAAGGAAGAGTAGGACAGTAATACCAAAGTTATTTTTGTTTGAGCTTTGGCCTTTTTTTTACTGCCTACTTTTCAGTCATTCTTAGGTGCCACCTTGTTACGAGTCTAGTCCAGAAGTTGGCAAGCTGCAGGGAGGAGGGACCAAGCCAAGCCACCTGTTCTGGTTTATTTACCATCTTATTACTTCCCTATTACAGGGGCAAGAGCAAATGACCCTCACAACCTAAAATACTTGCTATCTATTCCTTGACAAAAGTTAGCTGGCCTTGTCTAGACTAGATCTGGGGTTTCCCCAAGCATCAAAGGCCTTCAAATTACAGAAATCCTTTTTTTTGGGGGGGGGGGCGGGGGTCTGGTTGTGGGGCCTGAACTCTGGGCCTGAGCGCTGTCCCTCAGCTCTTCAGCTGAAGGCTAGTGTCAGCTGAAGGCTAGTGCTCTACCACTTGAGCCACAGCGCCACTTTGGCTTTTTTCTTTTTGCTTATATGGTGCTGAGGAATCGAACCCAGGGCCTCAGGCATGCAAGGCAAGCGCTCTACCACTGAGCCACCTTCCCAGCCCCTACAGAAATCCTTATGCTTAGTCTTTTCATATGATTTTCATATCTCTTTCCAAAAGGATATTTCAGTAATACGTAAGACTGCCTTTTGTTTAATTTATTGATTCCTTTTTACTCCTCAAGAACTTAGCTCAGCCATACTTTGGCTAGGATGGCTAGGATGCAGTTGGGAAAACTGCATCTGCCCAAACCCTTTCACTCTCCAGAAGCCCCCACATTTATATGCAAATGCTTTTACTCTTATCCTCTAATCTTAGAGTAAGAAGAATTCTTTTTTTTTTTCTTTTTTTTTTTTTGGGGTCCGGTTGTGGGGCCTGAACTCTGGGCCTGGGCGCTGTCCCTCAGCTCTTCAGCTCAAGGCTAGCACTCTACCACTTGAGCCACAGCGCCACTTCCGGCTTTTTTCTTTTTGCTTATGTGGTGCTGAGGAATCGAACCCAGGGCCTCGTGCATGCAAGGCAAGCGCTCTACCACTGAGCCACCTTCCCAGCTCAGGAAGAAGAATTCTTTTAGAGCCTTCCCTTTATCATCTGTCTTGATCTCATCTTTTATCTCACTTTTGTGACTGCACTGTATTCTTCTGCTTCCCTTTATGCATACCTAGGTATTGCTAATCCCTCAAACCAAAAATTTACCCTAAGTCTTTATTTGTGGATGGCTACTCCTCAGCCTTTGTTTTCTTTCAAAGCTGGGCTTCTAAAAGAGATTGTTTCTTATGTAACTAACCCCTCTGTATATCACTTTACAATAAAATTTAAAAATAAAATAAAGCCGGCCCCAGTGGCTCACACCTGTAATCCTTGCTACTGAGGAGGCTGAGATCTGAGGATAGCAGTTCAAAGCCAGCCCAGGCAGGAAAGTCCATGAGACCTAGATCTCCAATAAACCACCAGAAAACCTGAAGTGGCACTGTGGCTCAAGTGGTAGAGCGCTAGCCTTGAGCTGAAGAGCTGAGGGACAGCGCCCAGGCCCAGAGTTCAAACCCAGTGATCAACACAATATAATAATAATAAAAGAAAAAAGATAAAACGGATTATTCTCCTATTATTTTCTGGTGCTTCACTTTCTCCCGACAAATGTTACTCACTTCTTTCTTTCTTTTTTTTTTTTTTTTTTTTGGGGGGGGGGGGGTCCAGTCGTAGGACCTGAACTCTGGGCCTGGGCGCTGTCCCTCAGCTCTTCAGCTCAAGGCTAGCGCTCTACCACTTGAGCCACAGCGCCACTTCCGGCTTTTTTTCTTTTTGCTTATGTGGTGCTGAGGAATCGAACCCAGGGCCTCATGCATGCTAGGCAAGCGCTCTACCACTGAGCCACCTTCCCAGCCCCTATTTCTTTCATTCTTAAGAAAGTGTTTGGTGCATGGTATGTATCTGTTAAGTGAATGAACATTTATCCTGGGTAGGATTCCAGCAGATACTATAAAGAACTGTTCATCAGGTATTTCAAAACTGAAAAGACAAGAAGGAAACACTGAAATGTAACAGAAGTATTAGCTGTAGGAAATCACTCTACAACTGGGGATAAAAATCAGAATTTGGAACTACTACCTATTGCTAAACTTAGAAGCAATTTTTTTGTTTGTTTTTGTTTTTGTCAGTTGTGGGGCTTGAATTCTGGGTTTGAGCATTGTCCCTGTGCTCTTCATCTCAAGGCAAGCGCTCTACTGCTTGAGCCACAGTGCCACTTCCAGTTTTCTAGTGGCTTATTGGAGATAAGAGTCTCACAGACTTGCCTGCCTGGGCTGGCTTTGAACTATGATCCTCACATCTCAGCCTCCTGAGTAGTGAGGATTACAAGTATTGAGCCACCAGCACCCAGCAAGAAGCAATTTTTTTAATCTTCACATTTTTGCAATGCTGAAAGTTGAACCCAGGACCTGACAGACACTAGGTAAATACTCGGCCACTCACTAGCCATGAGTTCTTAGAACTGTTTGTTTTTGAGGTGAGTTCTTACTATGTAGCCCAGGTTGACCTCTAACTTGCAGTCTTACTGCTTCAACCACCTAAGTCTAAAGTCTTGAATGACTTTTTAGAAAGTTGGCTTTGGGCACTTTCACTTCTAGAATTTGCTTTGAGATAACACAGTTTGCAGTTATTATGAACTATTTGTTCCTCTTCAGAATATTCAAAGACCAGGGATATTTGCATAGGATAGGTGCCTGATAATCAAAATCAAACTTTTCATTAACTTGGAGCATAACTAAAAGGGTATGGAGAATAAATGACAGAATAACTGAGAGAATTTCTCCTTCTTTTTCCCACCCATCTTTTGTGTAGGATTTATTTTTATCCCAAACCCCTTCCTCCCAGGGTACCAATGGCACTGGGTGAAGCAATGCCTTAAGTTATACTCCCAGAAACCTAATGTATGTAACCTGGACAAGCACATGGCTGAACAAGAGACCCAAGATGTGTGGGAACAGAGCAAAGAGTTTCTGAGGTAAGTCTTTCATAAGACTGAGTGCTCAGATCATCACAGATCTTTAAAGAAGCTATTCTAAAAGAATACAATGAAAGTGACCATCTTGGGGTTTTTTTTCTCTCTCTCATTTCCACACAGAGCAGCACAGTTTTATTCTTGCCCAGAGAACATTTGAATAGATGCTTTGACAGTTAAAGAAATTGAGATCCATTTGCAAGATTTGCTTATCAAATGCTCCATTTTTATTCAGCTTCACTCCTTTTTTCTACTTAAAGCAAGTTGCTTTGAAGACTTACAGTGTCTAGTGAAGAATATCATTGATAGCTCTTTACTTCTACTTTCCTAAATGGAGTTGATGCTGCTAGCTGTCTTATGCTAGGTCAGTTGTTGCTCATGGGAGAAGAACAGTTATTTGTACCTTCATGTTGTTTCAACAACCATTTATTCATTCCACAAATATCCACTGGGTACCAAACATGATGCTAGGCATTAGAGACACAAAGCTTAATGTGACACTCTCCTTGAACATCAGTGAATAGTCTGTGGCAAGAATTCGTTGTCTATAGGAATAATCATAATAGAGAGCAGAAACTTACGATAAGGTCAGAACAAAAGAAAAACTGGGAGCAGAGGAAGAAATAATTCTTCCTGGTAGAATGGAAGTATCAAAGAAGAGAAAGTGATTTTTTTTTTTAAATTGAGCGTATTCTTCTTTTTACTCTGCCTGTTTCAACTGTTTCTAAATTTTTAGGGTTTCACTAGTCAGAAAAGTCAAAAGGCTGCCTAGAGTAGAACAGTGGTAAGCACATGTCTCACATATATGAAGCCCTGGGCTTGATATCAGGGCTGTAAGAGTCAGGAAAAGAGAAGGAAATAGCTCATTACTAGGGAAATCAAGCACCTACTGAGTGGTTTCACCAGGAGAGGATCCTTAGAAGCTCACTTCTGCTTTCCCCTAGACTTTTGTTCTGTGCTACTTTTTCCTTTGCTGATTTTGTTGTGCATGCTTAATTTCCCTAGCAATGAGTGATGACACAATCTGTGAAGTGTCCACCAAAGAAGCTCAGTGCCCAGGTTTTTACTAGGAACTGGCTGCATAGGCAGTTTCTGCCTGACACACAACAAACTTGCATATTCCCAGAAGGAAAGCAGGTACTAATATAAACTCTACATTTGTACAAACAGTCAAGTCATAGTGAACTACTCTTTATCAGTAAGACAATGGTGTGAGCCCTCTTAACATCCAGTGGTCATCTGTGTAGTTCCTTAAAAGGGTAGTAGATTAACTGTGTCTCTCTTGGGTACACCTATCTTAAATAAATCAATGTTTTGTTCCATTCCTTTTAACTACAGTCTTGCTAGATGTCTGTGTTATGATGTCCTTAGATTGTGAACTATAGGAAGACAGACAGCATGTGTTTTATAAAATCATATCAAACATCAAGATGAGGCCACTTGGATATAGGCCTCCAGGAAAGTCTTTACTTTTGCTTTATGTGCCCATCACCACCTGTTTAAATGCTGGTCATTCTTTTGTTTTCAGGGATTTGTTTGTTTGTACCAGTCCTGGGACTTGAACTCAGAGCCTGGGCACTGACTCCTGAGCTTCTTTGCTCAAGACTAGTACTCTACCACTTGAGCCTCAGCTCCACTTTTGGCATTTTGGTGACTTCCTATGCAGGCTTCAAACTACAGTCCTCAGATCTTAGCCTCCTAAGTAGCTAGAATTATAGATGTGAGCCACCAGTGCCCAGCTTGCTTGCCATTCTTTGATGTCAGATGTAATTGTCCTCTACTACAAGCTTCACTGATGAGATAGCTATCTTTGAGCTCTCTCATACCCCTCAAAGTCCATCTGTTCAGTCTACTACTAGACTTATTTCTTCTCATTTCTTCTTAAACTTCAAGTGTGTCATTTCCTGTCCCAACATTAACTCTTTAAAGGAGTCCAGCCTTTTTATTAAACAGCTGGATTCTTTTTTTTTTTTTTTTTGTCGGTCATGGGGCTTGAACTCTGGGCCTGAGCACTGTCCCTCAGCTCTTCAGCTCGAGGCTAGTGCTCTAACACCTAAGCCACAGCACCACTTCCGGTTTTCTGGTGGTTTATTGGAGATAAAGAGTTTCATAGACTTTCCTGCCCGGGCTGGCTTTGAACCTCGATCCTCAAATCTCAGCCTCCTGAGTAGGATTTGGCGTAAGCCACCAGTGCCCGGCACAGGGATTCTTTAGACAAAAATTTGGTTGATTAATGATGTAAATTCCATAGAGAAAAAATGATTAAACTTAACAGTTTTCATATTTTAGGTATTACTGATAAGTCAAACAAATAAGGTTCCCTTTTTTAAAAAAAAAGTGAATCACATAGATAGATAAGACAAAATACAATTTCAGAAAGAGTACCTCTCTCCAAGCTTCAAGTTAGGCAATAGAATGACAGAAACCAAATAAATTTCAGTGATGCTTTAATTGCTAGCTAAGCCTCAATTATCTAAGCTATGTTATACAGGGTTAAGAAAGTCATATTAAACCAGGTTTTTTGTAAATTTTATTCTATATATTTTGCTAGACTTCTTTTCCCAACCTGCAATTCTGGGAAGCCACCATCATTATAGACATAATAATAACTATGATTAGTCATATCCCACTTTCAACAAACCATATCGAAAATACCCTGGTAACCATACTTAACATTGACCACATACTTAACAATGACCACTGGCTCATTTCCCACTGACAGGCGTAATTTTATCACTTTTCATTTTTCTTTTCTCTTAATCTTGTTTCATTGTTACTGAGATTCTAGAGGCTTAACATTTAAAGTTAATCCCATCCAGCACAAGATTTAGAAATAAAGATCAGAACTTGGAAATGACTATATATTTTTTACTGCTGCGATAGTCTCAGTCAGCTCATTTATCTGTTCTTATTTCCCCTACCAAGTCTTGGCTAACAGCTTATAGGATAGAATACTAAATGTATAGACCATCATCCATACATAGGGCTACCTCTACCATTTAAGATGAATGAACCCTCTTTTCTTGCTAATCTCTATAGGTGTAAAGAAATGAACAAACGACGGCCACGAAGTTTACTAGAGAAACTGCGCTGGGTGACCTTAGGATACCATTATAACTGGGACAGCAAGGTTTTTAAAATTCTTTTGTTTCCGCTGATGTGCTTCTTATACTTGCATAATTGGACAAACTTAAAGTATCACCACCACATCAGAGACCATGTAGATCATAAACTATCCTTTTATGGAAAGATATTTCTCATTGATTTCTTCTTTCAAAGTCTCTCTTTAGGAGCAAGGTATTGTAGTTCATTTCTAAATCCTTGAATTTGGAAGGGTCAAAAGTTTGAGGCCAGCCTTAGCAACATTATGTGATCCTTCTCTAAAATCTAAGAAAATAAATTAGCATATCTTCACATATAAATAACTATTTTCATATATCAGAAGAAAAATTTGTCTTCAGGATATAGTATAATATCAGAAGTATTCTGCCAATGCTTTCTCAAAAGTAGGATTCAGGGATATCCATATTTCTTTACTTTTTTTTTTTTTTTTGTCGGTTGTGGGCTTGAACTGGGGGCCTGGGCACTGTCCCTGAGCTCTTTTTGCCTTAGCCCCACTTCCAGTTTTGGAGTGGTTAATTGTAGATAAGAATCTCACAGGGACTTTTCTGCTAGATCTCAGCCTCCTGAGTATAGGATTTCAGGCATGAGCCACCAGCACCCACCTCTTTACTGCTTTTAAGAGTAAATCTCAACTATCCTTTTTTCCATTATTGTTTAGAATTTGTTGGATGCTTATTTCCTATAGATGGCTTTCTTGGGTAAAAGAAGTTTTATGTACTGAGGGGGAAAAGAATGAAAGAAAACTTGTTGGTATAGACTACCTCCTCTACCCACTAAGCATTTACTTTTTAAAAACTCCATTGTTTTAGTTAACCCAACTTACTAAATAACTATTCCATGACAGACTGATTATGTTTGGAATATACTTTGCATTTTCAGTACCACAGATTCAGTAGGAAACTGTTTATTCAAGGAAATAGCCATGATTTTCTCTGGGTTAGGCTGTCTGTGTCTGAATCCTGTATTTGACAATGCGTGCCTCAGAAGGTGAATATGAAAATTAAGAGATTAATTTATTGTAGAGTGATTGCAGCAGTTCTTAACTATACTGAGCACGCAAGGGCATTTGGCACAAAAAAGTTAGCTGTTGCTTTTAGTGTTATTTTTACTTGATATTGTCAGCCAACAGACCTCAAAGTTAGCCTTTTTACTAAAGAAATGAAAAGTAAAAATTGTTTAAAAAAAAAAAGGCTGGGCTGGGAAGGTGGCTCAGTGGTAGAGTGCTTGCCTTGCATGCCTGAGGCCCTGGGTTCGATTCCTCAGCACCACATAAGCAAAAAGAAAAAAAGCCGGAAGTGGCGCTGTGGCTCAAGTGGTAGAGCGCTAGCCTTGAGCTGAAGAGCTGAGGGACAGTGCCCAAGCTCAGAGTGCAGGCCCCGTGACCAGACCCAAAAAAAAAAAAAAAGTCTGAAGTTAAGACTCACTTCTAGCCAAAGTAAATTCCATCTCTCCAGATCTTAGACTTCTTCCCCAAACTGAATTATAGGAAGGCGCTAGGGGAGCTTGAGACAGAATGGATCTTCTGATCAGATTTGAGGTTAACTTAGGGGAGAAAGAGGTGAGAGCAGAGCGAGGGGTGAGGGGTGGGGATAAAGGGTGATCACTGTCGGTTTACACAGCCTTCCCATCTCTCCAGCTCCTCTGCACAGGAGACTGTAACTGAAAGTCCAGATAGCAAGTGCAGCCATGTGGCTGTCATAAATTGTATACACAAAGGTTTTTTGTTTCTGTTTTGTTTTGTCAGTCATAGGGCTTGAACTCTGGGCCTGGGCACTATCCCTCAGCTCTTCAGCTCAAGGCTAGTGCTCTACCACTTTGAGCCACAGCGCCACTTCTAGTTTTCTGGTGGTTAATTGGAGATAAGAGTCTCACAGAACTTCCTTCATGGGCTGGCTTTGAACTGGGATCCTCAGATCTCAGCCTCCTGCATGCTAGGATTACAGGCGAGAGCCACCAGCACCTGGTTGGTTGAGTTTTTTTTGAGTTGAGCATTAGACCCTTTGTCTTTTGGGTTGGTGTGTGTGTGTATGTTAGTGTAAGAAAAGGTTTTTGCTAAGAATAGCAGTAGTTTAGAGACATTAGTGCTGAAAAATACTTGCATTTTAAGATCCTATCTTGCAATGCTTGGTAAGAAATGTATGCATTATCCTGCCCATGTAATTGTAACCCCTCTGTACAGTATGTTCTCAAATAAAATAAAATTAAATTAAAAAAAAAAAAAAAAGGGTCCTATCTTGGCCAATTATAAGTCAGACCTAATTCAGATGTTTTGAGCATGTCATCTCATTAGATTGCCTGCTGAGGTTGGCATTAAACCATGTTGTAAGCTGGCTATCATATTTGAGTTGTCCTTTTTTTTTTTTTCTTAAATAACCGTTTTATTATAGGACAGTTTAAGATTTGCAGAAGCACAGAGAAGATAGAACAATGAGACATCACACCTTCTGTTTATTCTTTCCACTAGTATGGTGTATTTATCTCAATGAGTCAATATTAATACCTCATTATAATAGTGAAGTCCTTACTTGAGGGTCAGATTTCTATATCTTTTAACTAATATCCTTTTTCTGTTCCAGAATCTAAATATTACATTACATTTAGTCATCACATTTTCTTAGGTAACAGTAACCATTTTGAGTTGCCTTTTCACCCTCATAGAACTATCCTCCTTAGGATTAATGCATACTAGAGGGTGATCTAGACGTCATGCAGATGAATTTGTATAATTTATTACTACATAGCACAGTGCCTGCCATATTTTCCAGTATTCTGAATGCCTCAAGAAGGGTTGAATGGACAATGCCATGTTAATGTTAGTTTGTAAGTTAGAGGATATTAAAGTGGTAAATTAATTTTGTGCCATAGTTTTCCTACATTCCTGAGATTATTGTTTATTTTCTTATTTTCTCTACTTTTACCAAAGAAATACTCAGCAGATCATTATACACCTTTCCCTTCTGACCTGGCTTTCCTCTCAGAGCAAGTAGCTGCTGCCTGTGGCTTTCAGGGTTTCCGAGCTGAAGCGGGGATCCTGAATTACTACCGCTTAGACTCCACACTGGGAATCCACGTAGACAAGTCTGAGCTAGATCATTCCAAACCCCTGTTATCTTTCAGGTAAGTTACTTCCGGGGATGTTTGTATCTTTTCTTTTTTCTTTTTTCAGAAGCATTAGCTAAATAAAGACATTAAACTCAGGCTGGGAAGATGATTCAGTGGTAGAGTGCTTGCCTTGCATGGATGAGGCCCTGGGTTTGATTCCTCAGCACCACGTAAGCAGAAAAAGCCAGAAGTGGCACTGTATCTCAAGTGGTAGAATGCTAGCCTTGAGCTAAAGAGCTGAGGGACAGTGCCTAGGCCCGGAATTCAGGCCCCATGACCGACCCCCAAAAAAGAAGAAACATTAAACTCTGTGTGTGTTGTATGTGTTCACAGGCCTGCACCTGGTCGTAGAACTTGAACTGAGGGCCTGGACACTGTCCCTGAGCTTTTGTGCTACAGGCAGGCTAGTTCACTACCACTGAGCCACGGCTCATTTCCCGCATTTTTGATGATTAATTGCAGATAAGAGTCTCATCCTCCTCAGTAGGTAGGATTACAGGTCTAACCACCAACACCTAGCCCATCATTAAACTTTTTTTTTTGGCCAGTCCTGGGGCTTGAACCCAAGGCCTGGGCACTGTCCCTGAATTTCTTTTCACTCAAGGTTAGTACTCTACCACTTGAGCCACCACACCACTTCAGGCTTTTTCTGAGTAGTTTATTGAAGATTCTCACAGACTTTTCTGCCCAGGCTGTCTTTGAACTGCTATCCTCAAATCCCAGCCTCCTGAGTAGCTAAGATTACAGGTGTGAGCCACCTGTGCCCAGCACCAACATTAAACTTTTTAAATAGCTAGATACTCTATCTTTCACTGTGGACATCTTAACAGTGTATCATAAAATAAAATTCACCTAACCTTTTCAGAGCAGTGACTAAATTACAGTTACTCTTTCTGTAAGATTTTTTATTTTTCCCCAGTATTAGGGCTTGAACATAGGTCCTAGGTGCTGTTCCTTATGAGTACTTTGTAGACTAGACAAATAGAAGGCCATAAGACAAAGTATATGACCTTTTTGGATTAGTGGAGCAAATATAGAGCAAATTTTTGCAAAGATTACCAGTATTCAATGAAGAAAGTGCCTTTCACATAGTAACATAGTAACAGACCGAAACCATTTTATTCAAATACTAAAATCTTAAAAGATGCATTAATACAAGTTGGGGTCAGTACTAGGGTATCAGGATAAGTTAGGAGTAGGAAGGCACCAGCTATGATATACAAGGCCCTAAGTTCAAGTCCTCTATCTTTTTCTTTTTGTTTTTTTTTTTTTTGAGTGCATCTAGATGAAGAGCTTGGCTTGGTGAGTCAGGATTTTGTTTGTGGGGGTGGGGCCAAAAGAAAAATAAATAAATAAATGGAATGAGAGAAAAGTGGAAACTCAGGGCCTGTTCTGACTCATGTCTGAGTCTTTAGGAAGAAAAAAAAAAAAAAGATGCATTAATAAAGCCAGGTACCAGTAGCTCATACGTGTAATCCTAACTACTCAGGAGCTGAGATCTGAGGATTGAGGTTCAAAGCCAGCCAGGGCAAGAAAATCCGTAAGACTCTTATCTCCAATTAACCACCAGAAAACTGAAAGTGGTACTGTAGGCTTAAAGTGATAGAGCACTAACCTTGAGCAAAGAACTAAGATCAGGGACAGCATTCAGGCCAAGTTCAAACTCCATGAATGACCAAAAAAAAAAAGAGAGAGATGCATTAATAAAGTTGATGGATAATTTGCTCATTTACTACACCAAGTTGTATTCTGCAGGACATTTGGGCAATCATGAGAGTAGGTAATAACAAATGTGGTGGCACATACTTATAATCCCAGCTTCTTAGGAGGCTAAGGCAGTATTGCAAGTTTGAGTGTAAACCCAGACCCAAACCCTGTCATAAAATGTTCATTTCCATAACATGTGCAAGGAAGGCCCTGTGCTCAATCTCAGCACTTGAAAAAAAAATACTGAAATATAGACAGCAGAACATGGGTTTGTCACTTAGAGACAAGCCAAAAGAGAAAAGTTTAAAATGAAAATAAGTATCAAGCTGAAATTATAGAATAATGTAACCTTCACCACTATGACTAATAACAAAAACTTGCTTTTTTTTTTTTTTTTTTTTTGTAGTTTTGGACAGTCTGCCATCTTTCTCCTTGGTGGTCTCAAAAGAGATGAAGCCCCCACAGCCATGTTTATGCACAGTGGTGACATAATGGTAATGTCAGGTTTCAGCCGCCTATTAAATCATGCAGTCCCTCGAGTGCTTCCAAATCCTGAGGGAGAAGGCCTGCCTCATTGCCTGGACACACCTCTCCCAGCTGTCCTCCCCAGGGATTCAGTGGTAGAGCCCTGTTCTTTGGAGGACTGGCAGGTGTGTGCCAGCTATTTGAAAACTGCTCGTGTTAACATGACTGTCCGACAAGTACTTGCCACAGACCAGGACTTCCCTTTGGAACACATGGAGGAGAAAAAGAGAGACAACCTCACAGGTTTCTGCCATTTGAATGACCAGGATAGCCAAATAAAACGGGCCAGGTTAAACTCTGACAGCTGAGACAGAATGAGACAGGAGGTCTCATTCTTTTATTCAGTTAGGTCTGTAATGATCATGGACTGGATTAGCACCAAAACGACAGACAAGGAAGAGCTCACTATTTGGAATACATCCTGAAGAATAAATACTACAGGTGTGCTCAGAGAAGTATTTAACTGGGTCTGGTTCTAGACCGTGACTTGTATTGGTTATCCAGAGGAGATAGGATCATCTACATACAACTTTCAGGCTCTGCCATTACCTCTGAGAGAGGTAGAGGTGAGTTTACATGTCTGTGGAGGATAAATACCTCCGATTTTATTAATGGGAAATACTGCACATCTGTTGATAACATTGTGGTTCTGTGAACCAGCCATTAAATTCATCTTAATTCTTCCAGTTACAATCAAAATTCTGATCTCTTCTTCCTTCTTCTTTGACCTGTCACAGAGGAATCCTAAACACATGAAGCACTGAAACTGGAAATCTCATTTCCTAGAAAAGACATTAAACACAGCCATAGCTTTTGTAAACCCATGGAAAAAGGAAAACAGTAGATTGTCCATGTGCCTTTTAGGGTCTCCAGACTCTCCCTGTTGGCTTTTTGTTGTTGTTGTTGTTGTTTTGTGTTGGGGTTTTTTTTTGCTGGTCACGGGGTTTGAACTCAGGGCCTGGGCACTATCCCTGAGCTTTTTTGCTTAAGGTTAACATTCTTCCACTTGCACCACAGCAGCACTTCTGTCTTTTTGGTGTTTTTCTGGAGATGAGTTTATCACAGACTCTGCTGCCCGGATTGTCTTCAAATCTGGGTCCTCAGGTCTCAGCTTCTTGAGTATCTAAGATTACAAGGTCAGGTCCCTGTTGGCTTTTTAGTGCAGTTTTAATTTTTGAACTGAAAAAGTCCCAAAGGTATTCTATTCCTGTTTTCTTCATGAATAAACTTACTCAGTTTTAAATTAAAGATCTGTATCTGTCTTTGAGGGTTAGTGTATCTGAGATGAGTTTTTTCTTCTTTTTATTTGGTGCATTGTTCATTCTATTGAAGCCCTGTGGCTGTTCTGCACTAAACCACCCACCTTTGCCTGGGTATGCTTCATAGTTATCTCATGAGAGATGACTGTTTGACAGTCTAGTCACTGCTCTCTTGTCTGGTGGGAGACTGCTTGGAAATGGATGAAGCACTAAGCTTTTGTTTTTTAAGAAAGGATCTCCTTTGTTTTGTTTTAGAAAAGGGGCTTACTGTCTCCAGCCCAAACTGTCTTAGAACTGAGGATGCTCCTGCCTTACCCTCCCAAATGCTGGGATTAGAAGCTGGAGCTAGCAGGACCAGCTACCAAGTTTGAATCTCTGTATCCCCATAAACTCCACACAATATCTTGCACCAAGTTCCTGTACATTTCTCTCTGGACCTCAGTTTCCTCACTCATAAAAATGAAGAAAATATTTATTAATCTTCTTCCTAAGGAGATTTGATATTTAAAAAGGAGTTCCTTTATAGAATAAGATATTCCAGTTTGTTTTGCTACTAAAGGGGCTTGTCTGCAAGGAAGACTGGCTTGATAGCCACTGACAGATACTTATCTTGCAATTTCATCCCTCTTATGCCCTACCTTAAAAAAAAAACAAAACTGATTGCCAGCATTGAGTATTAAGTTCATTCATGATGTTAACAAGTATAGAGTGTGTGTGTGTGTGTGCGCGCGCGCGCGCGCGCGCGTGCACACGGGCAGGTGGGCGTGTGCACGCGCATGCACACACACGTGCCAGTCCTGAGGCTTGAACTTGGGGCATGGGTGCTGTCTCTGAGCTATTGTGCTTAAGATTAGCGTCTACCATTTGAAACACAGCTATACTTCAGGCTTTTTTGTTGGTTTATTAGAAATAAGAGTCTCACGGACTTTCCAGCCCTCGCTTTGAACAGAGATCTTCACATCTTAGGCTCCTGAGTAGTTAGAATTACAGGCATGAGCCCCCAGCCCATAACCACAGGCATGAGTCACCCAGCTCAACAGGTATTGATTTTTTTAACTGATTTTTTGTTTTTGTTTTGTGTCTTTTCTTTTTTGTTACTGGGGATCGAACCCAGCACAGCACACTAGCTAGGTAAGTGCTTTGCTACTGAGCTTCATCCCAGCCCAGTTATAGATTTTTTGAGGAATAAAAATTAATATAGACCCATTACCTATCTGTGAGGTTCTAAAATTAGTGCATGATTGGGAAATTATATATAAATAAATTTACCACAGGGAAAAGTCCTTAGATCATCCATAATTAAATGTACCCACTTGAAACCAACATATAGTCTTTTAGTAAGTCCAACAGAAACAATCTACCCTTAGCATTAGAATAGATTTCTTTTTTTTTTTTTTTTTGAGTCCAGTTGTGGGGCCTGGGTGCTATCCCTCAGCTCTTCAGCTCAAGGCTAACCTACCACTTGAGCCACAGCGCCACTTCCGGCTTTTTTCTTTTTGCTTATGTGGTGCTGAGGAATCGAACCCAGGGCTTCCTGTATTCAAGTGCTCTACCACTAGGCCACTTTCCCAGCCCTAGAACAGATTATTCTTTCTTCACAGTTGAGTATCAGGCCCAAATGCTATAGTTATTCCTTGAAGTTTGAGAAGCAAATAGAAATTGAGGGCTGTATAGAGCAGATTCCTATCTCCCAGTACATAATCCCTCTAGGGAATATGCTCCAGGAGTGGGATGGTGAGAATTGTCTCCCCCACCCCACCCATGGACACCAAGGAATAGGAGGTGGGGGGAAAATACCAAGACTATTTAATGGCAAATGAAATTCAAGTCTCAGTGGCCATAATAGTTAAAAATTTGTTGGAATCCAGCCACTTTAATTGATGTACATGTTGGTATGGGTGTTTTTGTGCTATAATGGCAGAGCGGAGCCGTGACCAGAGACCTTGATGGTTCGCTGAACCTAAAAGATAATGACCTGGCCTTTGATGGAGAAGGTGACTCCTGAGAAAGAACTGACACTCAAAGGACCCTAGAACAAACCTGAAACTAAGAAAGGACCAAAGGGAAAGTATTCTTTGTGTATGTGTACCAGTCCTGGGCTTGAACTTGGAGCCTATACACTGTCACTGAAGTGTGTGTATGTGTGTTTTTAAATTTTATTTTATTGTAAAGATGCTGTAAAGAGGGGTGCAGTTACATGAGTAAGGTAATGAGTACATTTCTTGTCAAGAGTTATGTTTTTTATTAATATAATTTTATTGTTCTTAAGGTGTTGCGTAGAGGGGTTACCAGAATTCAGGTAATGCATATATTTCTCTTTCAGACAATGACCCACTTCACTCTCAGTTTCCCCCTCCCATCTGTGCCCACAAGTTGTTCAATACCATGATTGCATTTGTTCACCTCTTCATCCCTTTCTGAATCTTTCCTTTGTTCCCCTAAAAAGCACAAATTTTTAAAAAGCACACACAACATAACCACAGCCACCAATGTAAATAATCCATGTTTGGTCCCTGAGCTTTTTGTGCTCAAGGCTAAAACTCTGCCACTTAAGTCATAGCTCCACTTCTGGCTTTTTGGTAATTAATTGGAGATAAGTCTCATGGAAGCCAGGCGCCAGTGGCTCATGCCTGTAATCTAGCTACTCAGGAGGCTGAGATCTGAGAATCGTGGTTCAAAGCCAGACCAGGCAGGAAAGTCCATGAGACTCTTATCTTCAGTTAACCACCAGAAAACCGAAAGTGGTGTTGTGGTTCAAGAGGTAGAGCACTGGCCTTGAGCTGAAGAACTAAGGGACAGCACCCAGGTCCAGAGTTCAAGTCCCATGACCCACACAAAAAAAAGTCTCATGGACTTTCCTGTCCAGGCTGGTGCATGATCCTCATATCTCAGCCTTGTGAGTAGCTAGGATTGCAAGTGTGAACCACTGGCACCTTACTTTTTCCCTCCCTCCCAACCTTTCTCCCTCTCTCTCTCTCCCTCCCTCTCTTTCTCTCTCTCTCTCTCTCCTGGGGCTTGAACTCAGGGCCTAGACACTGTTACTTGAGTTTCTTTCACTCAAAGCTAATATTCTACCACAGAGCCAATTCCAGCCTTTTCTGTTCATGTGGTACTGAGCAATCGAACCCAGGGCTTCATGCATGCTAGACAGGCTCTCTACCACTAAGCTATATTCCTAGCCCTCTTGCTTGTTTTTTTAATTCATAATTTTTTTTCCTTATTGTGCCTGGAGAAATTGCTCCTTTAATATTCTGCTTGCAAGAATGTGAATGGCTGTGTTGTATCAGAGATATGATGAGCAAATAATGTACCAAATGTACCATATGGATGAGGCAGTCCCAAATTACATCCCCTTTTCCTCTCAGAGGCTTTGATAAATTTTGTGGTCATCCTTGTTGTTTTCAGGTGTGTAACATTTGGCCCAATGACTTTTACATCTAGGAAGTGAATGGATAGGAGTAATCTGAGCTATCCAGAAAAACCTGAGTCTGAATGTTTATTGTAACGAGAATTGGAAATAAGCTCAGCATCCAGCAGCAGACAGGCCCTGGTGAAATTCATGTAGTTACTCAACAGTAGTTCTACAGTCTTCTCTCTAGAACCTTCTCCTTCCTGGAACACATGTCCTAATAGACATGCCCTGTACATGAAGTACTTAGTACTAAGTACATGAAGTACTTAGACTTAACTGTAAGGAAATGTAGTCACAAACTGCATAGTAGCCTACTTATTTTTTTTTAAACTGGAACAGTATATATGCCAAAACATGAATGACAGTGAGATTATTTCTGATACTTATGCTTTTCTGTATTTCTGATATATCTTACACTGAAAGCCTTTCAAAATTATGTTTTAAAAAAAGAATAAATATTGTTTTTTAATAAAGAGAACTTTGACCTGGCAGTCTTACCTCTCTGTTTAGATCAAACCTAAGAACAACATTGTCTGAGAAAGAGACTTGCTAGTATCCTACAAATTATGCTTTAGAGGAATACTTAATCATTGGACCAAATGCCTCATATGGTAAGTGAGGAAAACAGCCTTAAAGTAGTATGTACAGCATCTACAATATTTTAGAATACATACATGCATAGAAAAGGCTAATATCCTCATAGACGTTAAGTTTTCTTAGGTAGCATAACATTGCTTTTTTGAAGGCCTTTCTGGGATATCTTGGGAGCAGGTAAGGCACATGCTGAGCTTTAGCAGCAGTGGTTTTATGAAGTGTCACAGTCAAGTGTTCTTGTTAGATGTCTTCCCTGATCATTCTGACAGCCTCTCAGAGTCTCTGACTTTCTAGTGTCTTCTGCTTCTTCCAGCAGAGCCTCTTACCTATGCCCATTCTCACCCCATGTTCAGATATCCCTAGAAGGATCCCAGGGCCTCAGTAAGACACAGATGTATTGCTGAATAGGACAGACTCAGCAAGATTTGGCTTTCCAATGTTCCAATTTTCTCAGTTCCCTTTTTCACTAAGATAAGCTGGCCTTATCCATTTTCCCTTAATCTGAAGGCTGTGTATTAGAGTAGCAAAAGAAAATAACCCTAATACCTTAGGTGGATTCAACTAAAGCAAATTAGAATGGTAATGAGCCAGAGAGGAGCCCTGGGGAGGAAGGGGGGTGACTGCTTTTGGCAGTTAGCCGAGAGGCCAGAGGAGCCGGACAGGAAATACAGACACCTCACCT